AGCTATATATATCAGAAATTCAGAAAATTCACTTGATGCGAGTCTTTGCCTTTAGATATAGGCCATACTTTAACGATTAATTCTACTTTAACTCTTGATTTGATTTTTTTTTGCCTGCAAGAACGCCATGTCTACGATGTCTGTTCGACAAAATACGACGTTTGAACGATTTAAGTACTAATTAAGGCGACTGCATTACTAATTAGTTACAATCTTTCTACGACTATGAAGGATTAGTTACATTGAATTAAAATGCACACAAATATCTCTTCAAAGTCATGGAGAGATGACCCAGAGATAGAAAATTTTTAGAAAAACCGTGTTTAAAACTGTAACATTTTGTACCAAATGACTCTTCTAGTCAATTTTCAAGTTAGTTTTTGGCAAATCAAAATACAATATCGGGTAAATATTTCCCTTTCCTATTTCACAGGAACTTGATACATCAAAACAATGCTAAAATTTCATGTGACAGGTCAAGGAAATTTTCAATTTTCAAGTGCGCCAGGTTCCTGCCGAATGCCAATCAAAAGCGCCCTCGTTCTTTACAAACACCGATAGATAACGATAAGATAATCCGTGTCAAACGCTCCTTAACAGGGAGGATTTGAATACACTTTTGCCGTCTGGATTTATCAATATAACTTTTTTGGACTCAGAACATTGTTTTAGTGAGCTCAGATTTTTTTTTTAAATTTCATTCATATCAGTTTGTAATTAATATTGTTGATCAAGATGAGTATTTGCTTTAACATGACATAGAAAAATATCCAAAACTTATTTTTGATCTATTTTTTTTACCTGTTTTGGTAGTGAAGTTGTAAAATTTATAATAAAAAAAACTACATATATGCCTCATCTAACCCACCTCCCTTTGTTTTTTTTTTTTTTTTTTTTTTTTTTTTGGGGGGGGGGGGAGGGGGGACATACCGGTACAACAAGGAATGTGTTTAAGAGAGATTTGACAGATATATCACCGCAAGAAATTGACTGATTTACTTTTAATTCGTTCAGAGGTTTAAATGCCGTGTTTATTTATCTATTTATTTATTTTTTGTTTTAATTTGAAATTCAATATTCAGAAATTATTCCGTATTGAAAATCTTCTCATGTTAAATCACTTATTCCTCATTTAATTCCTGAGTGGCACTGGTCGGACAACAAAGCAGCAGAGTGATAATGTCCAAAGACAGTGCTTTTTAAAAGAACTTTTCCCCAAAAAAGTGTCATTATTTTTCTGTGTTTTTTATGTCCATGCCATCAAAACATTTTATAACTTTACCTGTAACACTTTTACTCATAATACCATATGCCATTTTTAAATCTGTTCAGTTCTTCTTAAATATGTAGTATAGCCTTGTCGCATTTTACTGTCCCTCGTTCCCCTTTACGCTCTTACCATTTCTACTGAACAATTTGGAGACAATGGCCGCATCCGACTAGTTACTTGTTGTTTCATGTTAATCATTGCCATCGCTGGGACTTGTTAATAAATTCGAAAACCACATTCCTCGTTACTTTGGACATTTCACTGTCAACATTCTCTCTTTTTAGTTCAACAACATATCTTTTTATACCAAAACTACGGATACACAGCCCAAAGTATGTGATCTCATTATATCACACGGACATATAGCTCTTTTGAAACATTTATGAGGAGGCAAGAAATATCGATTGGTGAAATTGACACCCAGTCATCTTTCCTCAGAGGTCAATATTCGTCGTCACAGTGCTATATGTGGGCGTATTTGACATGTGAAGCACAGGAATCGTGTTTATGAAACATTTAAATAATTAATTAAAATATCCATAATTTGGTCGGCTGACCACACCTGGACAGGCTTTACAGAGTTACACACATAGGAAAAAGCATTGGCGCAAACAATGCACAGCCAAAATTTACAATCCTCTCCCATTTTCAGAAGAGAGCAAAATGCGGACTCCGGTGTAACAACGAAAAGTGACCCCCGTAGAGTATTGACCAGGGTGTAATTTTTCTACGTAGAAAAATGACCCAGGTCAATATTCTACGACAAGAAGGGTCATTTTTCGACCGTAGAAAATCCTTCCAGGCAAGTAATTCTACGACCCCGGACCGTTGCTCGAGACGATAAGGAAATAGTTGCATTTTCATTAAAATACATCTTCAGTTCATCATTTATGTTCGCTTATCTTAATAATTACGATAACATAGTAACACTGCAAATACATAATAACACCAGTAAGATAATAGGGTATAGTCAAATGTATTTTCATCTACATGTGCATGTATATCAAAGTTTCAAATTAGTTTCGCTCTCAGTGCTACTGAACTTATACATATTTATCTACATGTATTTTAGAACTTTCATAAATCAGTTTAAAAGGTAACATTTTGAACCACATGACTCATTTAGCCAATTTTCAAGTTATTCTTCAGCAAATCAGAACAACAATATTTGGAAAATATTTCCTTTTCCTTTTTCAGAAGAACTCAATACATAAAAAGAATGCTGAAATTTTGACTTTCAAATACGCCCAGATTCCTGCCAAATATCAATCAAATGCGCCCTCATCCTTAATAAGTTTAAGGTATATTTACTACTTTGTGACCACGACCTTCAGTTTGAAATTGCAAAACTCTGAAAAGTTCAAGAGAGAAAACGTGTTAAATACTAACAGGTCGTAGCTTCCATTGTAGCACGGAAGCACGTGCTTCCACATTGTTCGGTGGGAAAAATGAATTCATAAAAAGTTAAAATGCTTTTCAAAAATAAATTTAAAACACTCTCCGAAGAAAATACTGAACACTGAACTGTAGTAAAATTTTGCATTGTTTGTTCAATGTTTTAATTTTTCAATTTATGTTAATTTATGAATATCATTTCTATATATAATTTATAAGACTCGAGTTCATGAAAACATGCATGTATGATTGAAATTTCAAAAGCATTACATGTATATAAAGGATAATACATACTTAGTGTAAACTGTATAATATTGAATACATGTAAAATGCATATAGGCCTATAACATGCAGTCTAATAATAAGGACATCAGGGAGAACCAAGAATTTTTTTCTCGCTGAAAACGCATTTATGACAATATATATCATTAATAATAACTACAAAAGGTATTTAGAAAAAAAGTATTGATTAGCATTTAACATTTTATGGTTTAAAATGTTATAAATCTTTTTAAGTCTATCGTCACTTATCTAAAATGCACCAGCTTCCAGGGGCTTCGTACCCAGAGTCCCCTGGACTTCGGCTTTGTCCCATCGGGGCCTTATGCTCCCCCCCCCCCCCCTCCCCGCCATTTTATGCTTTCACATTGACCGACCCCAAGCTATGCCACAAGATGCGAATTTGGAGTTATAAAAGGCCTGTATGTACAAGTCAACCAAATTACAGAAATTCAGTGTATAACAAAAACATGTATATCTATGGCCATATATGGCACGAAAAAAGACATCAAATAAATAAACACCGTGCGTTTCATAAGTCTACCCAACCCAAATTTTGATTTATAAATTAGGGTCCCCATTTTTCTCTGTTTGTGTATGAGGGACTGAGTTTAGGTCCCCAATTCTGTTTGCTTATGAGAAGATGGGTCCCCTAATTTTACACAGAGTCCTCAGATTGGCACTTCCGGGTCCCCATTCTCTAAATTCATGGAAATATCATTCAATCTCAAAGACTCACTCCATCTACTTAAACCAGGATACCTACGAAGTAAAATGAGTTAAACAATACCAAATATGTCATGAAATCGCTTAGTCCCCATTTTAAGTTTTTATGACAGAGTCCCCAGATCGGAGTCCATACACGTATGTGTGTGTGTGTGTGTGTGTGTTTAAATTAAAAAATATAAAGTCTGATTTAAAATTGCTAAATATTTGAAAAACTTGAACATTTTTAATTTATTATTTCTTTCAAAACATTCCTCTGGTTTCAGTTAAAATTCAATCAATTTAATTTTTTTTTCTTATTATTTTTGTGTGTGTGTGTTCTAAATTAAAAAAAAAATATATATATATAGAATGTTTCAAAATCTGAGTTAAAATTTCTCAATATCTGAAATTCTTGATAAATTTTTATTTAACTATTTCTTCCTCTGGTTTCAGTATTTTCAAATTCTAAAATTATTTTAATTTCTCTAAAAATGTGTTTTGTTCTCTTTGTAATATATGTACAATTATTGTTAATTTATTTAGTTTATATTTATTTTTAAATTTTATTCATATGTTTTGAACATTTTGGCTTTCATATTTTTATATCTCTGAATTCTAAATCTCCTAAATTATGGCTCTACAAAAAAGGAGGCCTCCATGTGGCTAGAGCTGGTAACATTGGGATAATATGAATAATTAATACACATATTCATATTTTTTTAATGGCTAACATCTTTACAAATTTTTTTGGTTAAATACTTATCACATAAATAATTGACACATATCATTGTAGAAATATTGATAATATTCCGAAAATTTAAGTATACCGTTTTGTTTTGATCTATATAATGACGAACCGACAGAACTCGATCGCGATTTTAGATCGGGCGTGGTATACGGTATACCACGACAACTAGTAATGGCGTCCGATTTTTGTCGATTCTCAGGTAAAATTGGCTATAAAAATGTACGGATAGCAATATCATTCAGGTAATCACCATCTAAACCCTTTATGTATCCCAACTAATTCATTTTTAGGGGGATTCTACCTTTTTGTCGGGGATTCTTCTTCCTGTAGCGGGATTCTCCCGAAATCCCGGGATTCCTGATAGTCCTAGCACCCAAGAAGTTACGATAAATGTTAATTTTAAGTACAGCGTACATTGATTGTAAACAAAAAAGAAATTAAGCGGAACTGAACAGATTTAGGTGGTAGTTATGATATTAATGACATTCATTTATTCATTTTATATAAGATGGTTTACCCCCATAAAAAAATAAAAGACAAATTCTGTCAATGTAACAAAATTCAAATTAGGTACGACTTACTAAAATTTCTAAATAATCACGCATGCGTATTCTTCTTACTTATGGTAACGTCACGACCGAAATAAACTTCGTCACAGGACGGGGAAGGTAAATATGTAGTAAATATATCGAATATACAACACATCTAGCCGGGGGTTATAATTGACATGTATTTATTTTGATGTGTTCTTTTATGTTACATCGAACTTTCACAGTCTTGTGCAAATTTATGGCAAGTATTTCACAAATTCTGCTGTGTTTACAAAATAATGACAACAGAAATCTATTTTTAGAACTGATACTTTTTGTCTCACGCAATATAATTATACAGAATTGTCTTTGGATAGCATTTGTCAGGTAGCTGAATTACTGAAATGCCAAATTGTTATTTGATATATGTGTATAGATCAACATGCATTATGAAAAATTTCAAAACATGCCAAATGGATTTTCGGCTAGTATACTTTTGATTTATTAAACCCACAACTATCAGTAACATTCAGAGAATACACTTAAATACATCATATATCAAACTTTTAACACTGCACCACCTGAATTTTGTGTTTCTAGAATTAAAAATGGAGGAAGAAATCACAGAAAATTTTGAAAATGTGTCACGTCCTAGTGAACCATCACTCAAACGGCCAGAGTTTGCAGCAGTTGTTTTCCAGCGCATTCCAGAGACTTATCCTGCTGATGCCCATATTGAGTGTCGCTACACCATAACTCCTGATATAATTCCAACATCAAGAGACTGGGTTGGACTGTATAAAGTCGGGTGGATGACAACACGGGATTATTACTATTATGAATGGGCACAGACACCAGCAGGGTATGAAGCTGGAAAGGAACTGGATGCCAGTATTCTATTTCCAGGTAGGAAAATTTACTTATTAATCATATTATCATAATTATATACGTATTTATTATAAACCACTACCATAATTTTCCCCTATATAAAGTTAAAAATGTACTTGTAGTATTATTTTAAAAACCCTCAAATTAAATGTGTATTTTGAAAACCTTTTTGATAGGGCTTGTGGTTTGAACCGCATCCTTTTCTTCCTTCATCAGGGTTTGACACTGAGGCACGTCCAACCGACCCAGTCTAGTGAATGAGTGGTCCGGTCATGTAAAATGTACATAAACTAGACCGATTGGTCGTGTTGATGAGGCCAAATAAAAAAATATGTGTGGTTCCGGTTACCCGACCGTCCCTATTTTATACCCCCGACCCTAAACTTTTTTTTGGCAATTTTCATATTTTTCTGGAATTTTCCCCAATTTCCATCAATGGCTCCAGTTTAAGTTTTAGTTTCAGCAATGATGGCCCCCTTGCACAACATAGTGTTTATTAGTGTTAAATCCAAAGCAAGCTAGCATGTAGGTGTCCCCTACCAATATTGACTAGTATATTATCACACCACTTCTAAATGTCATTTGCAAAGTAGTGATAAGTATTATTTAGAAAAATTAAGAAAATCATTTTGTTAAAAAAAAAAAAAAAAATCCCTACCTACCTACCCTAATTTTTTTGGAGGTGTAACCGGAACCACACATATTTTTTAGTTTGGCCTGAAATAACTGTTAAACTCCAATTTCAGTCTTTGAAATAAATATTCTAAATACTTTTTAAAGAAATTTTCTCATTTGACCGAAGCCATCACTGTGTGAAGAAAAAAATCTCTGCATGACACAATCGCTATTTATAGTCAAGTCTCTGTAATAGACAAGTCGAGGTCGAAACTTCTGTAGTTCAGCATCAATATGGTATAAATAGTTATGTATAGTATATTTTAAAATTAATCTATTAAGGACATTGGCAAGTCAGGGTTTTCCGGAGAAAAAAGGTTTAGTACTTGTTTTTTTTTTCACTTATAAAATAGTGATTGAGAGTGATCTCCCGTGTAGAATTCTCTGAGCGGTGGAAACCAATAAAGCGTATGTTACAGAGGTAAACAAAAGCACATGTACTTCCTTCAATGGGTAGATTATCATCTATACAGCAAGAAAGAAAAGTAGTTATGGCTTTGATGTACATTGTATTCAGGGACAAAGAGCTAATAGGTCATCATTTACCATAGTTATGCTCAGTATGATGGGAAGGGCAAAGATGTGACATATGCTGAAAAGTAGGCCGACTGAGAACAGTTCTAAGGTTGTATGAAGGAAGCAGCATTTAGTAACAACGAATGAAAAATAAAAAATAAAACCATGCCAATATTTTTATGACATTGTGTTTCAATCAATTCAGTCAGTTACATGATAAAAACAATCAACCAGTCTCTTGATCAATTTTAGCTGTTAAGTGAAGCAACTCAGAAATAATGATCTGTGCCTGTATATCCATGTCTTGTTCCGATATATACATTTTCAGCCAAAATTTCTAGAAGTCATAAGAAATGAAGATACAATAATATAAATAATACAAAAACTGTATGAAATAAGTGGGTTTTGGAAAAATATTATGTTGAAAAATTATGTAGGTCCCTTTTATCAACATTTTACATAGAAAATGCATTGAGAATTGTAAAAACACTGATTTGACAAAATCTAAAAAAGAAGGTTAGATTGGTAGGTTAAATGATCCAGAATATAGCCTGTTTAGTACAATTAAACCTACTCAAGAGTTCTTGAAAAATTCTATACGATAACCAGGAACCTTGCCAATGTCCTTAATATTGATGATAATTATTTTATTAAAATTTGTTGAATGTTCTTTAAGACTTATAATCATGATAATACTCAAATGTCCTGCTGAACCCGACTCAACTAACCTATCGAACAGTCTGTCAAAAATATTGACACGCAAAAGATGATGTCTTTATTAAATATGGTTTCAAAAGTTACCTCCTTAAAATTCTTGATTATAAGAAGTAAATTTGCAAGTTTGGTCAGGGCTAGTGATTTTATGGTCAGGGCTATTAAAAATTATGGGAAGTAGCCCGACTGGTCTAATACTTGTAAAAGTAAATGTCAAACCCTTTTCATGTTAAATAATTTCAGGTATACTCAGCAAGTTATTAACAGTTACTTTATGACAAGTCTTTATATGAAGAATACATTTCATTGATTACAGCTCATAAGCTCCCAGGAGAGGATGGGGAATTCTATCAGTTCTGTTATGTCACCAGTTCTGGGCAGATCAGAGGAGCCAGCACACCTTTCCAGTTCAAAAATCCAAGTGCTGATGACTTTGTGGAGTTGGATGATGAGGAAACAAACATGTTGGTGATTCGGTCTAAGACTATGGTATTGGAGGAGAACATCCAAAAACTGCGAGAGGAGCAGGAGGCAATGGTACTGACTCAACAGGAACTAGAATGTGAGAGAGATGGTCTCCTGTCTAGACTGTCAGAGATGGAAAAACAACTACAGGTAAAATGTTATGGGCAGGGCTTTCAAAAAGATTAGAAACAGTGATACTTGTTCAAAAATAGGAGGTACCTTGTGTAACAATTATAACTAAATATGTTATCAAATTTTTCTCCAATGAATATTTTGGCTGGTACAATCATGATTTCAGCCGTAAAAACAGGTAAAATGTTGTGGGGGATATATATAAATACAGGTATAAAGGTATTAATAATGTAAGAGGAGGGGGGTACGTAAAGGTAAAAGGGATACAAGACACTTTATCTATAATAATTTTAACCTTTGATAAACATGATCATGTTTATCAAAGTTTCTTTTTTTAAAAAAAAATGTGAAGAAGCTTTTCTCCTACAATGTAAAATTTTTGGCCATAACTTTCATAAATGCTCTATCTTGTTTCTTGGGTGCTGAATTCAAAGCAGTTATGTATTGAAGAAGGAAGTCTAAGTATTTAACCATGATTATTTTTTGACCCCATTAAATGTCTTGGTTTTGTGGATTTTTTTTTTTCAAAACAGTTATATATATATATAGATAAGGAAGTCTCTTTATCCATCATCAGGATGAAAATCATATATACACTTGAGCTTATTTTTACTTAATATATTTTAAAGAAAGCATAATGGTAATATCATCCAGGACTGTAGTCATTGATTGTTGGAATATTCAATAATTGTTCGGATAGCAATCTAATTTGAGATTCTTTTAACAGAGTCTAACAGAAGACAACAACAGACTACAGGACCAGGTGACAGCAGGAGAGAACTACATCAAACAACTAAATCAGGAGGCCAGAGACATGATGGTGGCCAGGGAAGCATTACAGACCAAGCATGATACACTGTCGACTGTAAGTAACACCAACAAAGCAGGCATGATACACATCAACTGTAAGTATCACCAAACAAAGCAAGCATGATACACTTCAACTGTAAGTAACACCAAACAAAGCAGGCATGATACACTGTCAACTGTAAGTAACACCAAACAAAGCAGGCATGATACACTGTCAACTGTAAGTAACACCAAACAAACCAAACATGATACACTGTCAACTGTAAGTAACACCAAACAAACCAAACATGATACACTGTCAACTGTAAGTAACACCAAACAAAGTAGGCATGATACATTGTCAACTGTTAGTAACACCAAACAAAGCAGGCATGATACACTGTCAACTGTAAGTAACACCAAACAAACCAAGCATGATACACTGTCAAATGTAAGTAACACCTAACAGACCAAGCTTGATACACTGTCAACTGTCAGTAATACAAAACAAACCAAGTATGATACACTGTCAACCTTAAGTGATACAAAACAAATCAAGCATGATACACTGTCAACTCTCACTAAAAACCAAACAAAGCAAGCAAGATACACCATCAAGTGTCATTAATGCAAAATAGGCCAAGCATTATACACTCAGTTTTTCAAATGTAAGTTGCACCAAACAAAGCAAGGATGATACACTGTTAACTATCATCAGTAAATAACGCATTAGTCACTTTTAGCTGTTGGATATTTATAGAATCCAAAAAAAAACACAACTTGATTTGATAAACTTCTAATTCATTCATTTGATATACATGTAACTGCAGAACTGTAGCGTTATGGTTTTATATTTAACGTTACAGATCCCGTAATGTAAATAAAGTGCAATTTACAGTGCAAGATTTTCTGCGGCATCTGCGCATTTTGTGGATGTATTTGGCCACTTTCCAGCATTGGTCAATCAACAACCTTTCATCCCCTAATTCTAGACATATTCTATAACCAACCTGTATATTTCATCTATCTCCTAATCCTTTATAGTCGTCTCTACAGACCAATAAACTTGTAATGCCATCCGACAACAAATTCACAACAAGCATGATGGAAAGTGGCGAAATACATCCCCAAAATGCGCAGAAAATCTTGCGCCGTAAATTGCACTTTATGTACATAACCGAATGTGTAGCATTATGGTCAAAGACTAAAATATAAAACCATAATGCTAGAGTTCTGCAGCTAATATACATGTAAATTACTGATTTACAGAAAACAAGTGATGTTGAGTCCAAATTGAATGAAAAAGATGAGGCCCTGAAAGGGTTACAGGTCATTCTGATGAAGATGACAGGGGAGAAGGATGAATTAGCTGGAGAAAACAGGACCCTGAAGGAGCAAATGGAACTTTACAAGGTACGGCCTGATACTCTTACAATGAGTCATGTAGGAACTTAGTGAGGTACGGCCTGATAATCTTACAATGAGTTGTGTAGGAACTTTACAAGGTACGACCTGGTGCTATTATAATGAGTTGTGTAGGAACTTTATGAGGTACTGTCTAATGCTATTACAATGAGTTGTGTAGGAACTTTATGAGGTACAGTCTAATGCTATTACATTGAGTTGTGTAGGAACTTTATGAGGTACAGTCTAATGCTATTACAATGAGTTGTGTCGGAACTTTATGAGGTACAGTGTAATGCTATTACAACGAGGTACTTTACAAGGTAATGAGTTGTGAGGGAACTTTACAAAGTTCAGTGTAATGCGCTTACAATGAGTTGTGTAGTGCTATTGTATATTAGGTTTGCTCTCTAATTCTGAAACAAACATCATGGTTATGACAGAAATACAGTTTGAATTCCTCAAACAGGAACAACAGACATTCATTAGTGACTGTATTGAAAGTTATCTTGTAGTGTTAGAATTAGTCATTGTCAATCAGAAATTGAATTATTCTCATTAGTAAAATTTTTATATATTTTTGTTTATACAGAATCACTTTACAACATCAGAGAGTTCAGCACAGGAATATGGTCGTCAGATTGAGGAAATGAAAGTAGAACTCAGCAGAAAGGAGAGTCTGATCACTGAACTGAAACAAGAGGTCAAGGACAAGAAGCATCAACTGGGAGAGGTTCAGAAAAAGCTGGAGAGACAGACAGTCCTATCCAGGGAAGACAAGGTCTGTATCATCTCAGAGTAAATATAGACATGTAGTATGTAGTGGGGGGGGGGGGGAGATTCAGAAAAAGTCGAAGAAACAGATGGTCCTCTCAAAGGAAGATAAGGTTTCTATCATCTGAATAAATATTGGGGGGGGGGGAGGAAGGGGGGCAAAAAGAGTTAGAGAGACAGATAGACCTCTAGGGAAGACGAGGTTTCTATCATCAGAGTAAATATGGGGGGGGGGCAAAAAATTGAGGACAGACAGATAGACTCCAGGGGTCTAGAATTACGCTTTCCCATTGCCCGGGGCAAGTGAAATTCATCTCGGGAAAGATAGTTTTCATGATAAACTTACCCGAACGGGAAAGTAATAAATTTCAGGCTGAGCCAGCAAAACTTTTCGAGTTTATTAAAAGAAATCAATAACAATAAACATCCAATTACATTGTATTAGAATCTGCACAAGTCTGCTACATTTCGTTTATTTAATCTCCAATACTTATCATAGGAAGTCCAATTACTTGTATAATATCGGAACCAATCCGAAAAGATAAAATTAAGGAATGGCTTTTAAAACAGAAATGATGTTTTGAAAACAATGTTTTGTCAAAATGTGATTAAATCAATAGATATTTTAACAAAATAATAAACAAGTACATAATAATTGCTTTTAGATGGTGTATACATTAAAACCACACAATAAAAAAAAAAAAAATAGAGTTGTTTATATTTTTCTAGATTTTTGTTTTCGAGTTCTGTTTTAGGTTAATTAATGATATGTTTTCAAATAAATAAACCAGTAAAATTAGATGATTTTCTGATATGTTTAAAAAAAAAAACTAGATGATTTTCTCTATCTTTTGGGGGGCAAGTGAATTTTGAATCTGGGCAAGTGGATTCCCAGTCATTACTTGCCCGTGGGCAAGTGAATTTAAAAAAAAATTCTAGACCCCTGGACTCCAAGGAAGACAAGGTTTTTATCCTCTCTGAGTAAATATAGATATGTATTTGTGGGGTGGAGGGAACACAGAAAAAGCTGGAGAGACAGATGGTGCTGTCTGGGGAGGATAATATCTGTATCAGAATAATTATAGGGGAAATTAGAAATGGGAATACACTACTTTATTTAGACAGATCCCTCAATATGATCTTGCTGTTTAGGTTTTTTTGGTTTTTTTTTTTTTTACATGTTTTAGAGATAAGCTTCAAATTATCATTACTTTCAGAGCTGCTCTGTGATGATATATCTGGGCCGTATTTCCTACTTTTATTTATATTTTGCAGTGTTCTGCAGTGATAGTATATATGTATATTTTGGTTATATTTCCTTCTTTATATATAGCCTGCAGTATTCTACTGTGGTGCTGTACATTTACTACAAACATGTACACTGCATTTTCTGATAATATTTCCTGCTCTATTCATAGGATCAGATGGACTCTTTGACAGAGAAATTGCGCAATACGGAAGATAAACTTGATGCTGCAGAAAAAGTCAAAATTATTCTCCAGGAGGAGATCAGGTCATATGAGGAGATGAACGCCAAGATGTCTTCTGATCTAGCAGTGAGTGTCAAGACTTTCTTTCATATATAGAGTTGCATCCTTTATCCAACTCCTTAACCTCTGGAGATGATAATAATATTCCACCGAACCCAATAAATATATATCACATGGTGTCCTAGCACTAGATCATGTAGATAATTAGGTGCAATAACAGAAGCAAGAAAACTATCACTCACATCTGTCAAGTTGATGCTAATTTGGCGATAGATAATCCACAATTGTAATAATTGAGGAATTGATTTCAGAAACAGTTACTGTACATTCTTTGCAAAGAGTAACAAATTTTTCATTTTTCAAGCTTGTATTTTCACTTAAAAAATACCTAAATTTCTCCCTTTGCAGTAGGATGGAATTAAGACTATGAGATGATGTCCAGAAATAAACTGTAATTTTGGTTTGGTTCTATCCTTTATTATGTTAATTTTGGTTTTAAAAGATTGACCTATATACATATGAATTCTAACTAAATACTCATAAACAGTGTAAATTAATCAAATATTGAAATGAATTTATCTCAGTTTTTCTCTCTGGAGAAATAAATATTTATTTATAAGGCTTTGGGTACACCATGCACAATTTAGAGTTTTTTCAACTGACATTTAATATAAAAAAACTTTAACATGAAAAGAAATATGAGGTAAAAAAAACATTGATGTAACAGTAGTAAAAGCCATATGTAAATGTCATATTAAAAGTGTGTTGTGTTGTCAGAGATCAGTAGCAGAAAGTCATGCCCTGAAACTACGACTGGCCCAGATGGAGGATGAGATGATGAGAGAGACAGAGTTACTGAGGGCAGAAGTGGTCTCCTCCCAACAGGACCTCAGTCAGGCCCTCCAGGTAAATACATACTATCTCTCCCCCCAACAGGACCTCAGTCAGGTAAAACATACCATCTTTCCTCCCAACAGATCATCAGTCAGGCCATCCCGGTAAAACATACTACCTCTCCTCCCAACAGGACCTCAGTCAGGCCCTCCAGGTAATACATACTATCTCTCCTCCCAAGGGACCTCAGTGAGGCCCTCCAGGTAAAACTACTAAATCTCCTCCCAACAGGACCTCATTCAGGCCCTCCAGGTAAAACATACTATATCTCTTTCCAAGGGACTTCAGTGAGGCCCTCCAGGTAAAACTACTAAATCTCCTCCCAACCGGACCTCATTTGGACCCTCCAGGTAAAACATACTATCTTTCCTCCCAACAGATCATCAGTCAGGCCATCCCGGTAAAACATACTATCATTTAGTTGTCTGTCTACAAAAATATTTCAAGTTAATCACACAGGTACTTAAGGACAGGATTCCCCCCTCCCACCCACACAATATTCAACCACGAGACTTGTTGGACATTTCTACACAAATTACATTTATTACACTTAATTATCTTGTATACGAAAGGTAAAATGTAAAAAAAAAAAAAAAAAAAAAAAAAAAGCACAAAATAATTGTTCCATCAAAAAATACCCAACTTATTATTAGAGAGAAAGGTATGCCACTCCGATTTGTTTTCATTGTAGCCCCGCTGGTCTTTCTGGGTTAGAAATGTCTTTGTTTGTAGACATATGTACATTGCCTTTTGTCTGTATGTTGAAATAGTTTTTTTTTTATACTGTCTTTGTTTGTAGACATATGTACATTGCCTTGTGTTTGTTTGTTGATCTAGTTTTCTTCATACTGTCCATAGGAGAAGAACAAGCTCCAGGAGGAACTAGAGGAGATGTATCAGACAAGGGAGACAACGGAGAGCTCGCTATCCTCCCTACACTGTCTCAAGCTCGCCCAGGCTAGCCTCAAGGAGCGATACTCCAAGATGGAACATACCTACTCAGAATTACAGACCGAGTTTTCAAAGAAAAAGGTAAGGCTGTACATAGGAACAGTGCTCCTTAAATCTACTATCTAAAACTCTGGCCAGATTTAAAGAAGTTAACCTACAAACAAAAAATACCAAAGCAGGCAGCATTCTCAAATCTGAAATTCTTGAAATGATGAGAATTTTACTGTAATTGTTGAACAAAGATTGAAAAACGTTTAAAATAGCACTCACTTATAAGGACAAAGATTTTTAAAACATTTATATATAACAAACACCAAATCAAAATATCTAAAGCATGAATTTTATATAGCATGAAAATATATTTAAAAAATACAATTATATAATTTATTTACATTAAATCAAATATTTATAGTGTTTTTGTAATGAATTTAAGAATGCCCTAAACTTATGTAACTTTATGTATATATATTGTTATTTAGAGAGCAAGTGTGTTTTGTAGAAGGAGAACTCGCACCATGTTGGGGAACTGAAGAGAGAAATTGAGGACCTGAAAGAACGACTCAATATGGCGGCTGAGGAATATAAATCTCTGTACGTCGAGAAAAAGAAATACCAGAAAACAGCCGAGAAATTACAGAAAAGTGAGTATAGCAATATAAATCTCTGTACATAGAGAAAAGGAAATATAAAAAAAAAACAGCCGAGAAATTACAGAAAAGTGAGTATAGCAATATAAATCTCTGTACATCGAGATTTATTGTTCATGGATTTCCTTCATAGGACTTGGATCAGGTCGTACCAGAAATTTTTCCCATGGTTCCCTGCCTGAGGTGACCAGTGAGGTGCTGCAGACAAAGGAGGCGCCAGGTGAGAACTGATACGAAAACTTACAATCAGTAATAAATTACTTCTAGATAGCTTACAACCAATGAAAGATAAATTACCTCCAGACTGCTTACAATCAATGAAAGATAAATTACCTTTAGATAACTTACAATCCTTGATAGAAAAGTTACCTTACCATTAGATAGTTTACAATCCATGATAGATAAATTACCTCCAGAAAGCTGAATATAATAAAAAATGATTTTGGAATTTATACAAAAGTATTACAGTTCAAGTGAAAGACAAGTCAGAATTCCGGATACTGTAAATTATCCCTGATCTCCCAAGCTATTTTCTGGGTCTACAAAAGCCAATTCAAGTGTAACATTCTAACGTATACTGTGTACTTTGTATTATCCAGGAGACTGTTCTTCAGTGTCTGATACCAAGGAAGATACTGTTTCCCAGCTTCAGAGTGAACTAGATGATGTGTCTACAGAGCTTCAGAAAAGAAATGAGAAAAAGATAAAGTAAGATTCCATCTATAGTATATTTCAGTTATTCTAGTCTGCAATAGTATTACAGCTGTATATAAATGGTGCATGTTTTGGAGGATAACAGTTGAAATTGACACCCCAAAGAAAAACTGTTGTCAACTGATGGGTAAGCGGAGGTTGACAATGGTTTTCTGAGGGGTGTCAATTTCAACTGTTACCCTCCAAAACGGTGAACTTTTATTTTATTTTACTGCATGTCTTATTGGTTTAGAATGTCAACAAAGAAATTCAGAGGTAGAAACTCCCTGCTTCTGTTTTTCTCAATAAGAAAGCTTTGAAAATGATTTACTGCCCTCATTATTGATTTTTTTAGTAATTTGATACTCAGAGAGTCCTTTATCATATAAGGTTTCAGTATTTCTGCACTTGCAAGCATTTTTCACTTCTTGTTTGTTGTTTTTCAATCGGGCTTTGATTGACATCAAGTTGCCAACAAATACCTTTATTATATATATAACACAGAGTATATATAATATATATATAACAGAGTTTATCACAGTGTACCTACATGTAACACAGAGTATATATAATATATAAATAAAACACAGTTATCAAATGTCCACCTTAAATTGTCAGGAGGTACTTAAAGTCATCTATGGCGTATTTTTATAAGTTCAGACTAACTAAGATTAAAAAGATCTTTCTTTTTGTTTTATTACCTTATATAAAGATAGGACTTTCCTATAAATTACACAATTTAAATCAATCACGTTTCAAAGATATTAGAAATTTAAAACAATAACCAATTTATTTACCGACTCCTCATTTAAATAACAGACACAATTTAAAGTCAATTTAACTATGGAAATGTGTTATTCAGGTTCAAAATCGGTGAAAATTTAAATTTGAACGTAAATAACATATTTCATGTATATTTACACTCAATCTTGTATTTTTATTTTTTAGCCCAGAAACGCCATATATAGCTTTAAGAGAAATCTATCTTTTGCAATGGATAGGGAACTCTGCATAAACAGTAGATACTACAAAACATCCTAATTTTCAATGAAATTTTATTTAATAAACATGAAGTAATTGACACACACATGACTATCAACTTACAGTAAATGAACTTATGGTATATACATGTAGGGTTAGGTCAAGACTTGTTTAAACGTTAATTATATATACTCTGTGTTTTATATATATTATATATACTCTGTGTTATATATATATCATAAATACTCTGTGTTATATATATATCATATATACTCTGTGTTATATATATATTATATATACTCTTTGTTATACTCAGTGATATACTCTGTGTTAGGTACTCTGTGATTTACTCTGTGTTATATATATATTATATATACTCTTTGTTATACTCTGTGATACACTCTGTGTTAGGTACTCTGTGATTTACTCTGTTATATATATATTATATATTCTCTGTGTTAGGTACAAGAAGATGTACAATGAAGAGAAGGAGAGGATGGAGGTTCTGAGGAGACATTTCCACGATGAGTTGAGGAAGAAAGACGAGGAGATTGACCAGCTCCGACGACGTCTACAGGAGGCGTCCACGGAAAACGACATCAAAGTTCGCTCCCTCGAGGTAAACAATCACACACACACACACACACACACCCCTCCCCCTTCAGTGTAATCCATGCAATCACATGAACTGATCTTAAATTTTATAAATTAAATGGACTCGTCTACACACTTCAGTGTATATGTATAACCACAACAAATGAATCATAAATTAAGTAAGCAGTTATTAGGCATTCTAAATACTGAAAGTGCTTGTACTAAACTGTAGTGTGACATTGTATAATGACATCAACCATAGCTTGTGTTACACTGTGCTATAAACATTGTCAGTACAGTGTATTGTGTTACACACTGTGCTATAAACATTGTCAGTACAGTGTATTGTGTTACACAGTGTTATAAACATTGTCAGTATTTGGATAAGGTCTGTATCTCGTTATCATGAAACTTTATTATTTTACACATTAAAAGCCTGACCATGACACATGTGACGTAGCAAACATTTGGAACTGATAGGAATGCTCAGATAAAACCTGGGCTGATTGTAGCAGATAAACTAGCAGCTAGGTGATACATATCTAGCTCTATTGAATGGACAGCTAGCCTAGCTGCTAAATGTTCGATTTTGGATAAAAATACATGTATATCAGTAAAAACTTCTTTTTGGAACAAAAAAAGTTTATTTCAAGCAAAAATAGATAATTATATAAATTTACATTTAATTCACTAAGATGTAGAAAACAACCCCCCTTTTTGTTAAAATCTTGATGGCTGCAAAGTGATAACTAAGGAGGCCATCTTGGATTCGGTACTTAGCCAGGTCTTTCAAAATGATTAGAAACAAACTGTACTTTTTCAAAAATAGGAGGTACATGTACCTTGTGGTAGTGTTTTGATTAAATATGTTATCAAATTTTCTCCAGTTAAATATATTAAAATGGCAGCCCACTTGGGTTTTACAATCTGACCTTTAATCAGTGTTTTTGTTTAAATCATGTTTATATAAATAAAATTTAAATTGGATAACAATTTTTTTGTTTGACATTTCCCTTTAAGGATTCATTTTGCTAAAGGTGATCTTTATTAGTTTATCTGTTTACTATCTTACTCCCAATGTTCACATAAAGTGATCAAATTGTTACATGTACTTTGTATGGATAAACAAACATAACAGAGTTTCTGAAATGTTTATCTTAAGCTCTTTTTGAAAAAAAAATAATAACCAGATAATTCAATTTGCATTCTTAAATGGAACCTAAATTAAGATATGTCAAAAAAGGAAAAATATGTATAATTTTAATTTCATGTTTATTTGATTGAATTATGATGACATATTGAGTTATTTCTAACATTTACATGATTTATTTTTTCTCCCTCTTTGATAAATGGGTTCACATTGTTTTCTAGACATTTTCCAAATCGTTATGACTTTTTTTTCAATAATTACAGAGTTTTTTGGTGAACAAAGACAACACTATAGAGGAACTGAATCGTAAATTACGAGACAATGTTAAACTGCATGATGTAAGTCACACAGAAAATTACACTTCTTATTACCATTCATCAAGTTTAAAATAAATTACAGGCTTTGCAACTACATTTATAAATCTTTAAAAAAACATTACAAAAAATATCACACATACTGTACATACATAAAAAAAATTATTTGCACTGCCAGAAAAATGGGTATAAAGTCATTCATTATCATTCAACAATAATTGTATGACAGTTAAGGGGGGGGGGGGGGGGGGGGGGGGTAGAGACGTAAAATAACCAGATCGAGGCAAATCAATGTAAATTTTGTTTACTTGAACATATTTCTCTCATTTAATACCCAGTTTTATTCTTGGCAAAAAAGTTTTTATTTCCATTGCTGATAATTAAAGAACATAATTCATAATTTAATTATTAATGGTCAGTTCTGTAACTTGTTTTGATAATTTTGATTTTCAGCAACATAAAATACATACATCATGTGAATTTGATATTCATTTCTTTTGTAGAGTCCATCAGAGACACAGATGAGGCCACCTTTCAAGTGCCCTCCAGGGGCCCCCTACCCTGTCTACATGTATGGCAATCCCTACCCTGGGTCCTTACTATACCCGGCCCCCATAGTGTATCCCCAGGTGTCACAATGCCAGGGACCAGATGGAAAACCTCTAGCTCCCCTTAAGTATCCAGGTAAATTAACAGATCCTCGTATGGAGGTGACATAAAGCCTCCCCCTAATGTCTGATCCCATTACCAAGTACTTCCCTCCTACTTTTGTACTGGATATTGGAAACATTGCCTGACCTCTGAAATCGAATGAAATTCTGCATGAAATTCTGATTTTTTGATAATAAGGTCCTTTTATCCATATTATGAATAACTGACAGGGTTCAGTCTTAACACATACAATCATATTGCTCTCTTAATACATTCAGATACTTATAATGAAGAACTTTTTTTTTACTAAATCTAAATCCATGATAAATTGCTTGCAAGTAACACTAACAAATGCACCTATTTGATTGCCAGTTTTTGTCATACTATTTTTGTGGTTGGACTTGTACGTGTATTTGCAAGTTTTAATTATTTTATGCAGATGCTTCTGCTCCAGTGTCCCAGTCTAATCCCCAAATGACCCCCCAGGAAATGAAGCCCCTGATTTACCCAGACCATGTCATAGTCAGACAACCAGCACCTGTAAAATCAGTCAACCCAGACCATCTCTCTGATGATCAACAGAGCGTGACCAAGGACCAGAATGTCCCCCTGAAGCCACTACCACCCCCACTGGTCCCTGAGCGGCTTCCGTCGGCAAAACTCTCAGCAGTCAAATCCTTCCTGATGGATGGAGGTAAAGAATGCTGTCTTTATAATCCACTTCCAAAGTTGTGGGGTATTAAACTTGTGTATGTAACAATTTTGATGCCCCTCCTGGCATTCCACTGACTAGAGTGTAACTTTATTAAGATTGTAGTTCACAATGGGTTGAAAATTATGGAAAGATCTGTAGTGCTTTTCAAGATCAAATGTTAAAGACACCATGCAGTGGGGATGAAAAATTTATTTCTGGATGATATCTGGAATCTGAACTGATTTAAAATTTGTCTAATTTTTTTATGGTATTAAGTATATACATGTAGCTAATGAACTTTCAAGATGACTGCTGTTGATTTTTAAGGCCAAAACACATAGATCATAGCCACTATTAGTGGGCAAAGTATAAAATAGCATTAAAATGAATAATATAAGTAAATTTTGCAGTGTGTTTATATTATTATCAGACCTTAGCTTCTAGTGGGGTATTTTTCTAACTTAGCTTTGCTCTTTATGTTTTTATTTGCCTCAAAGTGAGTGAGTAAATAAAAGGTAAATTTTTATTGTAGATTTCCCAGTGAGTGAGATCAGTGTGAATTTTGGCAGTAATCACTTTAAAGTTTCCGATGAGGGAGAGGAATTTTTGGTTCCCTCAGCACCCCCTGCCCATCACCAGGGGGAGGAAAGGTTTGAGGATGCCATTGGGGAGGCGATGAAGATTTGCCCAGTGTGCAATGATTCTTTTTCTGCTGACATTGACCAAGCTAACTTTGAGGCCCACATTTTAAGTCATGTCCAGAAAATCTGCCCAATCTGTCACAACCTGATAGAGGAAGTGGATGATAATGGGTTCGAGTTCCACGTCAACCAACACCTAGATAAGGAGCAGGCTAAGGAATAAACACAGACTGTGTCTACAGAAGTAATCAGTGATGTTCTGTCCTGACTAAAATATGATACAAGTATTGATTACAGATTAATAAATGATACATATTGTCAGTAATACATGTACACACACTGACGAACGAATGTATATAGTATTCTAAAGTTATATAATGATACACAAATTATTTACACAGGAAACAGACAAAATCTTTAAATCAGCTAAATTTTGATTTTTGATAAATTTGATTCGGAAACACCTATACCTGTTTTACAATGAAAACAAAGCTATATGTATTTCGTGTATAATTATGTATTATAAATGCTTGAGGTTCTTTGTAATAATCGAAATGATTTACTCCCAAAAATTTTGTTGTGTGAAGTTAAATGCTATATAAGGATACATGCCACACTGTAGTTAAATGTCTTCACAATCTAGATGACTCTTGTATTGTTCTTTCCCAGGCTAATACTGTTAGTGTTGTGATGTGTGGTTATGAAGTGATCCTATTAACATGTAGATGTTTTATTTACAAATTATTTTACACAGATTTTCATTTGTTAGTGCTACATGTATTAGTATGATGTGCTTATTGTTTTGTTGGAGATTATTGTAATTGGACCTTGGTATTGTTGATTTAGGGATAATCTCTCGGACTTTCATGATAAGAAAAAGAAACACGTGAAATGCTGTAAATAATGTAGGTTAAAGGGAAAAAAATCCATGTGAAAGATTGTCCCCAACCCAAATTCCATTATTACAATTTATACATTTTAACATTAAATTACATAAAGTTTTTATGCTCCAAATACTGTTTATAATACTTGCATTTTCTTGTTACCCACATGAACATACATTGTATAAAAAAATGTAAAAATATGTGTTAAAGTTGTTGATTTATATACATTTGTTTTCTTGAGAACATCCTGGTAACAAAATTTAATATGATTTATTGAAAGGAAAGAGGGATAATCATGGACTGTGAAGTGTTTAAGATTAATTAATTGAATCATTGGACAGAATGCTGTATTGTTGAGAGGGCTTTGTGTTTACTTTTCAGCTTTTAAAATCACTGTATGTAGGAAGTATACAACTTACACAAGACTTCATTGAGTGTTTTTACCTGTTACATAAAACATGATTACATAATTATAATTGTAAGATTTTTATGTCAGTGAGATCCATAGTCAGGTATACAACCAGACAGGGGAATCTGAAGGATGTAGTACATGTGTACCTGAATGTTAGACAGGTCATGTGACCTGAGTGATTACACCGGTGGATCCAAGGTTTTGTGTTTTGAATTGTATCAGATTGGGTTCAGCTGCAATATTTACACCACACTATCTGGACACATTTTATTTTTAAAATGAAAATGTATTTTTCAAAAAAATTGAAAGTAAAGAAAAAACTAGTTTTTGCGGGCAATTGTAAAATTATATGGTGTAATTGTTTGGGAAGCAGGCTGATTCAGTTTTGATGATTTGTATTTGAAGTCTTTCTTATCCTTTCATGTATAAGCCATTTCCAAGTATTGTGATAAAATGTTTTTCATGTTCAATAGAGTCAATAAACTCTTTCATATATACATGCGTATCGTGTTAGTTGATGGAGACTGCTTAATGAATATATTGTGTTCATTTAAAAAACTGTCCAAAACAGCTAACTAGAAGCAAAACTGACAATTTCCCAAAGTAATTACATGTACAAGTATTTGTATAGTGTTTAGTCCCCTAGCGGACTTTGTGAAAACGGGGGGGGGGGGGGGGGGGACTATAGGTTTCCTACTCGTCCGTCTGATTAGCTGTTCAATCAAGCTTTTATGCTCCTCTTTTCCCTCCTGTCTACAAATGATTCCCATATCTTCTCTCCAATGAGATATGGTTGCCGTATATCTTTTCTTATGAAATGTTAAATTGTGGATTCCAAAATTTATGTAAATTGATTACAAGGATATGTTGCCAGGCCTAGTGAATATTCTTTCAAGTCCCTATCTTTTCTCCTCATAAAAATATTAACTGCTGCCACCCCGACAGATCTAGACATACTGTGCTTGAACATATTCAAGGAGAGGTGAAAATGAAATCGGATTCTAGAAAACTCAAAAGAACTTTGAAACATTTGAAAACCAAAAACTTTTCCCGAAATCAATAGCATGAAAACATGACTTTTCAACACTTTATACAACCATTCCTCGCGGAAATTTAAAAACCAGGTTTTTTGACATATAGCAAATGCTTTTTTAATAAAAAATGGAACTGAGGACTTTTCATATCCTGTGATTGTCCTCTATAACTTAAGAATCATACTGACTTAAATATTGACTTAGGAATCATACTGACCTAAAACACTGGAGTTTCTCATCAAGAAAAGCATCTCTATTGGAGACCAAGTCTTCCAACAAACTGTTAGAATTTGCATGGGGACAAACCATGCTCCTTTAGTAGCCAACTTTTTTTTTGCATTATTACGACGCATAATAATATGTTCAAAAACTTTTGCTTTAAGGACAGACTTTCAAAACAAACAAACGAACGGGAAAAAACAACATAAAAATAGCAACTAAAGACACGTTCATATAAGTAACATGAATAACATTAACCGCATGGATTTTAATTTTATATTCACATTCTCACAATATTGTCCTATGAAGTGATTAAAATTTGTATAGATTTTTAAGGTGATCACAGATGAGTAGAATTTTTAACATCACAGAAAGTTTACAATTTCTTAACATTTAAGAAATTGATATTTGGATCATTTACAACCAAAATAGATCCAAAAATATATATCAATCCAGGCATCGAAATACATGTATTTCATTTGTCGACTCGATATATACAGAGTCTGCCACATCTGTTTCATACTTAGAATTTTTACAGAACTATAGACGATAAGGGCTAACTAACAACTAAACTGTTTGACTAACAGGATGACTTCAGCTTTTCCATCACCAACCTCCCCTATTTGTGTAGTAATAGTCCATCATCACCTGTATATGATGTTTAAACTATGTACTGCTATGCAAGAGCAAGTTCTGAGAACGATCAATTTGTAAACTGAGAGATTGACTAGTGATAAATAACTTGATGTTACAAGGATTTCAAAATCTCGTTTAAAGTCTACACTTCACAAATTTTACGGTCGTTATGATGGCCTTGTTTGTACTTTATACTAATTTTGACTTCGTATTACTTCGTTTACCTGATAAATATATAGGGATCACGGCGGTTTACCGATCAACGGGGGATGCTTTCTCCTCCGAGACACTTGATCCCACCTCTAGTGTTTCCAGATATCTGTTTGTCCCGTTTACGACATGTTTATAAGATTTATGAGAATTGATCATTGTTTTTTATCTTTACCTGGAATCAATATCGTCATTCAATCAAACACTGAAAGTGAAAATCTGTATATAATGGTTAAGAAAATAGTAAACTAGCTTACATTGGCCATCTACATATGACTCATGTCAAGGCAATTCCCGATTGGGAATTATATATCGTACGAATATAATATTTAAAAAAAATAAATAAATAGGAATAAACTAGCTAACCCTGGCTGAAGACAAATTTCAAAACTAATGGGTCAGTGTACGTTATAAATTAAACAGCTAGTTAATTCACATCCACGCTATTGTTTGAAACTAGAAATGCTAACTAATACTCCAGGGGTTGTTGATTTAAAATATCTGCTAACTTTATACATGTACATGTATATAAAGAGAGAGTTTGCTGAAATAATATTAAAAAAGTAAACCAAAATAACTATTAATGTTGTGTTAATTTTAATGATTATTACCTCAACCCTTAAGCCGAGGGGTGCAAGGATTGTGATAGTCACCCCCCCCCTTCCTTCCCTCCATTAAAATCTTGTCGGCTCTTTCAGAAAGGCTGGATATTTTCAAGTTTTACACAACGAATCAATAAACTAATGCTGAGCTGTGTGCATTCTGTAGATTAAATAAACTATTGTTGGGCTCTGTGCAGCATTCTATAGCTATAAATCACTGCTGTGCATTCTGTAGCAATAAACCGCTGCTGGGCTCTATACATTCTGTAGCAATAAACCTCTGCTGGGCTTTATGTATTCTGTACCAATAAACTACTACTGGGCTTTATGCATTCTGTTGCAATAAACTAGTTGGGCTCTGTGATGCATTCTGTAGCAATAAACTATTGCTGGGCTTTATGCATTCCGTAGCAATAAACTACTGCTGGGCTCTATGCATTCTGTAGAAATAAACTATTGCTGGGCTTTATGCATTCTGTAGCAATAAAGCTACTGCTGGACTCTATGCATTCCGTAGCAATAAACTACTGCTGAGCTCTATACATTCTGCAGCAATAAACTATTGATGGGCTCTATACATTCTGTAGCAATAAACCTCTGCTGGGCTCTATGCATTCTGTACCAATAAACTACTACTGGGCTTTATGCATTCTGTTGCAATAAACTAGCTGGGCTCTGTGATGCATTCTGTAGCAATAAACTATTGCTGGGTTTTATGCATTCTGTAGCAATAAAGCTACTGCTGGGCTCTATGCATTCTGTAGCAATAAACTACAGCTAAGCTCTATGCATTCTGTAGCAATAAACTATTGATGGGCTCTATGCATTCTGTAGCAACAAACCGCTGCTGGGCTCTATACATTCTGTAGCAATAAACCTCTACTGGGCTCTATACATTCTGTTGCAATAAACTAGTTGGGCTCTGTGATGCATTCTGTAGCGATGAACTATTGCTGGGCTTTATGCATTCTATAGCAATAAACCACTGCTGAGCTCTATGCATTCTGTAGCAATAAACTACTGCTGGGTTCTTTGCATTCTGTAGCAATAAACCTCTGCTGGGCTCTTTGCATTAAATTCTGTAGCAATAAACTACGGCTGGGTTCTATGCATTCTGTAGCAATAAACTATTGCTGGGTTCTATGCATTCTGTAGCAATAAACTACTGCTGGGCTATATGCATTCTGTAGCACGTATGAAAAGGAAATTCAATGATCAATTGAAATTGAATTTTCAATGTTAACTGCGACATTTTGACCATATTTTAACAATGTCTTCAAATGCAACCTTTAAATTTTGACTTCTTTTAGCCACTATGCATCTCTGGAACATGTATGAAACCAAAGTCCTTTAACATTCTTTAAATTGTAAGGCCAACAACGTATGGTATACAATTACACGTAGTACATACTGTGACCTTTGGACCTTCAACTGCAAAAAGCCTGTTTTTTCTAATCGGTAAAAGTGCAATACAGTAAATACGGGGTTGTCCTAAAATTCATGGACAGTGCCTGATGTTTTTACGTAAAAAAGTCTACGGTGATTCCAAATTCGTTGATTTTTAGATGACATGTGTGCAATTTTCACCGATTTTGGAGGCACTAAAAGTCATATGATGAATATACGAATATACTGTAGACTTTACTTTACCGGTCCCCAGATCCGCGCGCTTATTGCATTATGACGTAAGATTTACGTCACTCAACTGATAAGGGTTCGTCTTGCACATTTTTTGACTGGTTAGGGTTAGTCTTGCACCCACCTGAGAGATTAGGGTTAGTCCTTGCACAAGTTTTCAACTGATTAGGTTTAGTCTCGCATCCATCCGAGAGATTAGGGTTAGTCCTCGCACATGGGTTAGTCTAGCATCCGCCAGGGAGATTTGGGTTAGTCCTTGCATACCATCCGAGGGATTAGGGTTAGTGTCTTGTTTTTTTGTTTAAAGATAAATTAAGAAATTCAGTTGCATCTGTATTTTTGCAAGATCTCAATTCAGCTTTAACGACATCTCTTTGGTTTGTTTACATGAAAAAATGGCTAGTACGAAAGAAACGGCACTAAGCATGCGCCGCACGCGCTCTGTTGACAATTATTTTTCGTCTCCTTTTTCACTGAATAAACAATATTAATAACTTTTTTTCAGAAAACGAGGTTAAAAACTTCGTTTAAAAACGAAGTTTTAAACTAAACTTTTAAGTGTAGAATTCGATTTTGGGGTCAAAAAGGCTAAAAACCTCATACTTTTAATTTTTTTCGATCGCTCACGCGATCTCATATATATATTGAAGTCGCCTACGGCGACACTATATTTTAGCGCGTTTTTCTGGGGACCGGTAAAGTAAAGTCGTTCCCACAAAGTAACTATTCTGATGGATTCGTAAACTAGTGTGTCTTGACGTGATTTTTTTTTTTATATTTACAAAATGATGGACTAAAAATATTTTCGCACACACTTGCAATTGGCAGCGTCGATATCCACTTGCGCCCATGACTATGTAAGTCAAATAGCACTCTGCAAATCGTGTCCAAAATTTATAAATCATGGTAACTTGGCTTTTAACACTCAAATAATACACAAGTTCCTCTGGTCATCTACCACCTCTGTGGTAATGTTGAGAAATACTGTGATTCATTGATTTTCATAGGCCGAGATAAAATTCTGTGATCTTGGCGAAAAACAAAAAACAACAGCAAAATAAATAAAAAAATAAAATAAATAAAACTGTACTGTTAGGCAGTTACAAAATTATACCTTGCTCAATAATTAAATACTTTAAATTACTCATTGCTAAGTTCATTAACTTCTACAAATATTTGGCAAATAGACGTTCTCCAACATGTATGTGGGAGTTTAGCAGGAATAACACCTCTAGATATAAAACAATGAGCAAAGAATGACATGACGAACATCTATTATCTAGATGCCCTTATGACAAATCCTAATTCTATTGCATGTAAAAGTATACTCTAAGTCTAGAGAAAATTTTCTAAATCAATGAAGCATTCAGAGTACTGATTTTTTGGGGTAAAATAAAGAAATGGGTCCAGGTGATAAAATCAATGATACATGTATTACAAATTTTGGGGCAGAACTGTGTTTACATCATTAAGGAATTATTCTGCCAAAATTAATGATTCACTTTGGAGTAAAATTCAGAATTCTGTTAATAAGTGTGTATGACAATTTGACTTTGATCAAAACTGTTCACGTGAACCTTCTTTAACTAAAAGTAACATTTAAACAAAACCTAGAAATCCTGAAAGATGATATATTAAGTATCAGTAAAATTGCTTTGTAAACCAATAGTAAATCAAGCAAATCCTTTTTATGACAACTATATGTATTTATTCACATTATGATAAACAACATGTGTTTATTTTATAGTGAGAGATTATGCTACAAAGGTTTGTAATGGTAAATATTAGCACACAGGTCACTATCGCCAGAATTTCCTCAGTGTTAATGATGTAAACAGTCTATGCCTGGTTTACTGTTGTCTGTCATCATTCACTCAGGATTTAACTGCACCAGCAGCCTGCTGGGATTGTATCTGATTCTGGATTTTAAGTTGTAAAATCTCCATGGTTACTGAAAGTATAAATACAGAGTTAATGAGATCCATGGTGAAAACATACAATCAACATATGATGGTAAATGCAATGTTTTCAGGATAATTTCCATTTAAAAAAAAAAAAAAAACTACAGTAGATAGAATATAAAAACCATTTTTCCCAATGACATCTTACCATGTTTTTAAATTTTCATCAATATGAATTATAATTTTTTTCATTTATTGTATTTTAATTAGGCTGAAAAATTTTCATTTTGATCTTTTCATTTGATCAGTGAAATCTTACTTTCATAACTAAATCCAACTTTGATCATGTTATATACTGTTTCTTCAATCAGTAAATCTTACCATGTTACATTTTTTTCCTTAGTTTAGTAAGTGAAATATTAATTTGTTTCATTTTATATTGCTGTTTTGATTGGTAAAATTTTACATTGTTTTATTTTGTGAAATTTTTTAAAATTTTAAATCAGTACTTTTCACCTTGTTTCATTTTGTACTTCTCTGCTAGAAGAGGTTGAACTTTTTCCATTTGTTTGGTGACATAATCTATTTTTCTTTTGAAGTACTCCTTCCCTTTAGTCACTGCCTGTGAAAGTCAATCAACAGTCACATTAAGAAAAAACAAGGAACTTAACTGCCTAGTCAGCAGGCATTATCATGTATCATAAAATACAGCAGTCAGTATTAAGGAAGCTTTAAATACTGTACACTAAAGAGTTCTAATTGTAAGGTAGTTTTATGTACTTAAGAGTGATCTGCCCTTGGATATAAGATGGAATCCATGGGAATCTACAGTTAATGACTCAATTAGTAATGGATTAAGGTATTCTAAACAGAATAGCACACTAAGACAAAGACCATGGTAATAAATACATTATTTACATGATTTTTTCCCCAAAACAGAAAAACAACAGTGATTTCTGTTCACTGATAATGCATTGTCTTTGAACATTCTTGTTGTTAAATATGGCAGGTATCCCATGTTGAAAATGAATTCAGAATGTAAATTCTTTATGTCTTAATTTTCTCAAAGTCCAAAAAATTTTTCATTAGTGTTTAGAGCTTCCTTAAAATACTAATCACAAAGAAGTTTGTTTAGGCTAGTGACATGAAATAAAATGTACTTTAATGTACCATTCCTACTTAGTACCCTAATCTAATTTTAACATTACATTTATATTTTGCCATTTCAACATAGTACCCTGATCTAACATCTACATTCCATTTATAGCTTGCCATCTGATCTAATATCTACATTTATAGCTTGCCATCTGATCTAATATCTACATTACATTTATAGCTTGCCATCTGATCTAATATCTACATTACATTTATAGCTTGCCATCTGATCCAATATCTACATTACATTTGTAGCTTACCATCTGATCCAATATCTACATTACATTTATAGCTTGCCATCTGATCTGATATCTATACATTCCATTTATAGCTTGCCATCTGATATCTATACATTCCATTTATAGCTTGTCATCTGATCTAATATCTATATTACATTTATAGCTTGCCATCTGATCTAATATCTACATTACATTTATAGCTTGCCTTCTGATCTAATATCTACATTACATTTATAGCTTGCCATCTGATCTAATATCTACATTACATTTATAGCTTGCCATTTCAACAAAGTACCCTGTTCCTATATTTTAACATCCCTACATAGAATCCTGTTCCATTTCTACAAGGACATTGAGAACTTCCCATTTCTACATATTACCCATTTCCAGCATATTATCATATCTACATACTATCATGTTCCAATATATTAATATTCTGCATATTAATGCCCTGTTCCAATGTCTTCAAGGATATTTACAGCTAATTAAAACATTTCTACACATACTCTAGTATATATTACTTCTTCTACATAATATCTTGTTCCAATACTTACAAGTGCACATTTACAATTACCATTTCTACATTTATCCTGTAACTTTGATATCTTACCATTTCTACATAGTAACCAGTTCCAATATCTACAAGGACATTTGAAACATCACTCAGTTGTCCTGGAACATACATCTGAATTCTTGGTTAAAGAAAACTAAGCTGACAAGAGAAAGACAGAAGACATTTTTGTACACATACAAAGCTAAACAAAAATTGAGTGAAATTAAGGGGCTCATCAAAAGTCTTCCATCTGTTTCTGTTTTATAACCAGCAACTTCATGCACATCTTAGCCAAAAAGTGCTTATCACTAAGTTATCAGTTCAACATGACCAGTCAGAATTTAAAATTAAAATCAAAATTTCCTGTCAATCTTGAGGCATTACCTAGTTTGTAATGTTCCCTTGATTCTCATTGTCTAGGACTTAGATTTTGATATGAGTAAAGTTTTCTTGGTTCCCCAATTTTAAGCCTTTAAGGATACAGAGCTAGTGAGGGGCACCAGTATATCTTTACTATTGTTTTATTAGGATACAGAGCTAGTGAGGGTCTTTACTATTGTTTTATAAGGATACTGAGCTAGTGAGGGATACCAGTACATGTACATGTATATCTTTACTGTTGTTTTATAAGGATACAGAGCTAGTGAGGGGTACCAGTATATCTTTACTATTGTTTTATAAGGATACAGAGCTAGTTAGGGGTACCAGTATGTCTTTACTATTGTTTTATAAGGATACAGAGCTAGTGAGGGGTACCAGTATGTCTTTACTATTCTTTTATAAGGATACAGAACTAGTGAGGGGTACCAGTATATCTTTACTATTGTTTTATAAGGATACAGAGCTAGTGAGGGGTACCAGTATATCTTCACTATAGTTTTATAAGGATACAGAGCTAGTGAGGGGTACCAGTATATCTTTACTATTGTTTTACAAGGATACAGAGCTAGTGAGGGGTACCAGTATATCTTCACTATTGTTTTATAAGGATAAAGAGCTAGTGAGGGGTACCAGTATATCTTTACTATTGTTTTTGTTTTATAAGGATACAGAGCTAGTGAGGGATACCAGAATATCTTTACTATTGTTTTATAAGGATACAGAGCTAGTGAGGGGTACCAGTATATCTTTACTATTGTTTTATAAGGATACAGAACTAGTGAGGGGTACCAGTATATCTTCACTATTGTTTTATAAGGATACAGAGCTAGTGAGGGGTACCAGTATATCTTTACTATTGTTTTATAAGGATACAGAGCTAGTGAGGGATACCAGTATATCTTTACTATTGTTTTATAAGGATACAGAGCTAGTGAGGGGTACCAGTATATCTTTACTATTGTTTTATAAGGATACAGAGCTAGTAAGGGGCACCAGTATATCTTTACTATTGTTCTCTGGGTTGACTTTGTTTAAACATTCCTGAGACTCCAGAAACTTCTGCTGGGCAAGCTTCAATTGGTTCAGGGATGATGTGAACAATTCTATTTCCTACAAGCAAAACAATTAACAACATAACATTTACCCAAATACCTATGTTGAAGGAAGGATTTCTTTCTACTACATGTACATTGAATTACTTATACTGGTTTGTTGCAGACTGTCTACAGACATAAATCAGGTTGATCAATTTCAGAGACGTCAAGGCCGAGTAATCTATGAGATTGATCAACCCAATATATTTCTATAGACAGTTTGTTAAAGGACACAGAAGATATACATACACAGAAAGTGCTATGACCCTTTAATTATATAACACCATTATATTGAGTTCTGTGTAGAATTTGGAATGTTTCTTTTAAAACTGTTTGAGTCAATTACTGTACACGTTTAATATTTGGCTGTGTATTCTTTTAGCAGAAAGCAACTTCCGCTAATTTATGTATATCGCTAACTATCTTGCACACATACACATAAATAAGAACACTTAGAAATGCGCTAAATCAAATCAAAGCTTCCTTGTTCAAAAATCAATTTCCGCCAAATTTCGTACACGCTAAATATAATACATTTACAGTATTTCTTAACAAAAGTGTCAAGGATATATATAGATTTAAATATACCTACAGACCAACAGACAAAATTGTAGGTTGCTTGCTCTAATAGTGAAGTACCTCTGTACAAAATTATAAAAAAATTATGTTGAAAACTATCTGAATTATCTTGTCACAATAAAAAGATCATGGACATACCTACAGACAGATAAAGTGGTATGATCTTTCAATCTATAGGTGTCCTGCTCTTAAAGAAGTACTTGCGTTCAGTGATTTTTCTACACCCAATTTAGGTCCAAATATCGGCCCTTTCCCCTCTCAAAAATTTCCAATTTTTTCCCAATTTCTGTTGCTTTTTTCCCAAAATAAATTTGCTGTTGTTTTTGTTATATTGAAATTTTTACATACAACTTATCTAAAATGGAATGCTATTGTTCTCGGTCATTCAGTCTCTTAAATTAATGGTGAGGAATAGCAGATTATTTTGTGCATTTACAAGACATAGAAACCCATGTTTTGTGAAAATACATTGTAAGAAAGATACATGTGAACTGAAGAAACATAGCTTTATTTGTAAATCAAACAACATGCATCCCTGACTCCACAAAAATCAACTGTTTCTACACCCGGCAGGTTCAACTAGTATTGCAGAGAATTTTTTTGTGATTAATCATGTCAGATTATCCCATCTTCAATGGCTATTACGAGAAGGATTTTCTCTTATGTCCACTACTATGGCAAAAAAAAAAAAATTAAAATAAATATGTAGGACGGTCACAATTATATATTGACAACTTTCAAAGATAAAAAAAAGTTAAAAATTTAGAACTGTGCCTAATGTGTTATTTTATAACAACTAAATTGAATAAATTAAGTAAAATTTAATTATATATTTTATTTCACCATTTAATTAAGGTCAATTACAATTTTATTGATTTTTCCAAATTTGACACAAATGTCGATGATTTTTCCCAATTGTTAAGGCCCAGGCCCCTTTTCAAAATTGTAGAAAAATCACTAGTGTAAAAATTCGTATGTAAACATTTTGTTGAAAACTATTTGAGTCATCAGTTCAAAACAAAAGTGTTGAGGGACAGACAGATGGATCCTAAGATCTCTAACCTAAGCGTCTTGTTTTTAAAGTAAAGTAATGTTGTAAAGTAGTTCAAGATGACAAATTGGTATTTTTATTTTTCAAAAATGAACATTGGATACATGTAAACATGTCACATTTAAAAATCATACTGACAAACATGATGATAAACTTGTTTACAGATCTACAATAATGTAATGTGTGATATCGTGCCATGAACTGAATATTGTGATATGTATCATATTGTGAGGTTGGTGTATCATTGCAGCTATAGGACAGGCTCTTGTCTTCAAAGAAGTGGACAGGCAAAATATATATAGCAACTTCCCTTTTTAAAACATCTTCTTGATATTCTTACATGTTGTGTTCTATGGTTTCCAGAGAAATTAAAAAAGGAAAATGAAAACAACTGAAGATAAAAAAAAAACAACTTGACAAAATTTGATGAAGATGTACTACCGCCTGCTGTTCTTTTTCCTTTATTATATTTATTATTTTGCAAAACTACCTAAATTATGATTTCTTTAAATCCACAAATACAGACTTGTTTTGTTCAACAGAACTTGTGAAAAAAAAGAGTAACAGCGAGTAAATATGATTTCTTAGTGACAGCTTGCTGTGGAAATAGTTGGTCTGTTACAATGAACATTTCTTAGGCTGTTACGAGGGTTTTGCTAATTCGTGAAGAACAGCTAGACTGGAAAAAACCGTGAAAGTTCCATATTGTAACAATATATTTGTAAATACTTCACTATTGAGTTTAACACTACCTGTTCTAACTGCTGTACAAGTTGATTTAACTGAGGGATTGGTAACTGTCCGATGTCAATCTGTCCTGCTTGTTTGGAAGCCATGCTCGCTGTCAAGAGAATTCCATAAAGGGAGAAAACTCGCGAGGAGTGTTTAAAATAAAAAACCTGTTCCTGTAATGGAATTAAAATTTCCGGACCAATGAATCACAATTTAAAATTCTTAATAAAAAGAAAAAAAAATATATGTTTTCTTTATGAAATTAAATGGCAACATGATTAAAAGAAATACATTATAATAAAAAGAATTAGCAGCACGAGAAACCGTGAAAAACTGTTTTATTCTGTCAAAGACGTACATGTATATGGAAGTATATGAATTAGGCCTATGTCCCTGGTTCTGTACATATGTGAACAACTAGATCATACAATTTTTCCCAGGAAATCTAAAAATAGGAGAAATCTTATATATATGTGTCCTCTTCACTTAACTTTAAATTGGAATTAATTTATGAATACTATGAATGAAATGATATTTTATTTTTCAATGTTCATTTTAACAATTAGCTCCTTGATTTTTATTGTATTTACATGTATTTAAAATAAAACGTTATGATATTTATGTCAACTCTGCCTCCACAAGACAGGCTTGGATCCAGGATTTTTTTCGGGGGGGGGGGGGGGGGGACACCCCTGTCAAAAAAAATTCCAACCCAAAAATTCAAAAATTTCTCGACAAGCAAATAAATAAATAAATAAATAAATAAATAAATAAATAAATAAATAAATAAAAAATAAAAAAATAAATAAAAATAAAAAATAAATTTCTTCCTAAACGTATTTAATTCCAGAACATTTGTTGACAAACCAAAAGAAAAAAAAAAAGAAAGAAAAAGTAAAATAAAATAAAATAAACGTAAATTCCATTTCCCAAACGTGAAAAACACCTATTTCGTGGTGGCGATGGTGGGGTCCACGTTTTCTAGGAGGGTCCAAAGTCATTTTTTTATTTGAATATATATAGGCCATTGACAGCACTCCTACGTATGCCTTTGCCTCCATGTCCCCCCCCCCCCCCAGGAGTACATGCTTTCGACGACAGTAACGTAATAAATCGGATATTAAAAAAAAACTGGGTTCATATAGCCAAAGGTGATTTCTGGAGGACAATAGTGTCAACGTAATAAAACGGATATAAAATTCCAGGTCATATAGCCAAGGGTGTTTTAAAGTATATCGACTAGAGATTTCGCACAAATTAGAAAAAAATATTTAATATATAACTTCTGAATTTTAGAAAACATAATTGAAAAATCAAATGATTTTTCTCGCGAATTTACATTGACGTCATGCTTATACGCGTAAGAAAAAGTGCAGGCATACTCATGGTTTGATTTTCAAAAAAAAATAAAATAAAAAATAGCAAAATAGAATTTACATAGCCGTCATGCTTTTACGCGTAAGAAAAAGTGCAGGCATACTCATGGTTTAATTTTTAACAATTTAATAGCTGACATTATGATTAATACGTTAGAGCCGTTTTCATGACTTTACATACCTACACATACACATACCTGTGCATAAACTTAAAGTTACATAGTGAGTCAAAATCATGTGTTTCTTTTAAGATAATTGTGTCATAAAGCTAAAGATTTATGAGAAATATGAATAAGGTGAAGTTTTGAGATCTCAACTGCACGGTAAAATCAAGAAAAGACTGCAAATGAAAGTGGCGGAAAAAGAAAAGTTGTTTCTATGGCGCGGTTGTTATCGTCAATGTCAACAATGTCAAGGTCATGTGTCTTTTATTTTTAGCGTGAAACTTGTAAACAACATTGAAGTGGAGCAATCAAAAGTGAGGAATAAGTTCTGATCATCTTTTTTGAAGATTATATCAAAATCCTCGGTAATTCGACATTTATATATATGGAATTGACACCATGGTAACTTCTTCAACTTTTCTGCGCATTCGTACATTAAAAAGGAAGAAGTGAAACAGAATTTTCGTGTTAGGGCAAACGAAAATTATTTTTACTTATATTTTGCTCCATAAAAGTAGATTTTTTAGGTTCTAAAACCTGTAATTTTCTGAAACTAATACTTTTAAGAATTGAATAAAATTTGTATGTGTCTTGCAAAAATTCTACTTCTGTCAATTTTCCCGTTTTTCCGTCACGGTGTCTATTTAAAAGTAGTCATTTAGAAAAAAAGAACTACTATGCGTATTAATGTGTAATTGACGACACTCCTTCATCTGTCTTTGCCTCCAGATGAATATGTATAGACCATTGACAACACTCCTCCATTGTCTCTGCCTCCAGAGGAAAATTGTATAGATCATTGACAACGACTCCTTCATCCATCTTTGCCTCCAGAGGAATACCGGTATGTATAGAAAATTTAAGACACTCCTTCATCTGTCTTCGCCTCCAGAGAAATATGTATAGGCCATTAACGACACTTCTCCATCTGCCTCCAGAGAAATATGTATAGACCATTGACGACACTCCACCATCTACCTCTAAAGGAATATGTATAGACCATTGACGAAACTCCTCCATCTGCCTTTGCCTCCAGAGAAATATGTATAGACCATTGACAACACTCCTTCACCTGTCTTTGCCTCAAGAGGAAAATGTATGGACCATTGACAACACTCCTCCATCTGTCTTTGCCTGCGGAGGAATATGTATAAACCATTGACAACACTCCTCCATCTGTCTTTGCCTCAAGAGGAAAATGTATAGACCATTGATAACACTCCTCCATCTGTCTTTGCCTTCAGAGAAATATGTATAGACTATTGACAACACTCCTCGATCTGTCTTTGCCTCCAGAGGAATATGTATAGACCATTGACAACACTCCTCTATCTGCCTTTGCCTAAAGAGGAATATGTATAGACCATAGACAACACTCCTCCATCTGCTTTTGCCTCCAGAGGAATATGTATAGACCATTGACAACACTCCTCGATCTGTCTTTGCCTCCAGAGGAATATGTATAGACCATTGACAACATTCCTCTATCTGTCTTTGCCTCCAGAGGAATATGTATAGACCATTGACAACACTCCTCCATCTGCCTTTGCCTCCAGAGGAATATGTATAGACCATTGACGACACTTCTACATCTGTCTTTGCCTCAAGAGGAATATGTATAGACCATTGACAACACTCCATCATCTGCCTCTAGAGGAATATGTATAGACCATTGACAATATTCATCCATCTGTCTTTGACTCCAGAAGAATATGCATAGACCATTGACAACACTCCTTCATCTGTCTTTGCCTGCAGAGGAATATGTATAGCAGGGTTCTCGATCATTTAAAATTTAACTGTGGCGCAAGATTTACGCCAAGTGCTAATATTCGCGGTCATTTCGTGACCGAATTCGCGAAGGAACCATGAAATAAATTGAAAAACACACAGCACCTATGAAACAAGCTTGATTTAATACAAAAATGGTATTAAATATTTGACAAAATGATTGATAATTCAATAATAAAAACAATTAATCGAAAATTAGGATGTTTACAAAATATATGCATACCTTGAAAAAGCCCCCCCCCCCCCCCCCCCCATCACCACCACCACCAAACACATGTGTACTTGTGAATAAACACTATCTGTCTTTGGCTCAAGAGGAATATGTATAGACCATGGACGACACTCCTCCATCTACCTTTGCCCCAAGGGGAGTATATACGCCATTGACAACACTCCTCCAACTGACTTCGCCACCAGAAGACTATATATAGGCAGTCGACGATACTCCTCCAACTGACTGGGCTGTTCATTGCTTCATTAAAAGTTACTTTCTTTCATATATCAATTCGATATATCCCAGTGAACTTGAAATAAAACGCACCACAGAGTCTGCCACATCTGTTTCACATTTGGATGTTTTACTGACTATAGCCGATAAGGGTCAACTAACAACTAAATTGTATGACAAACGAGATGAATTCAATTTTTCCATCGTCAGCTTTCCTTATTTATGAACTAATATCCCGCTATCACCTACATATTGTGTTTACATCTCCCAACTTATTCGATACTCAAGAGCATGATCCGAGGACGATCAAATTTTAAACCGAGGCAGGTCACTGACAAATAAATTGATGTTACAGGGATTTCAAAAACCTACTTTAAACTCAACATTCGTAAATTTTATTGGGGGGGGGGGGTCGGGGGTCCCTCCCCCTGAGATTTTCAGAGGTGAAAGGTTTCAAGTAAAAGTAACAAAGAAATGATCTTGGTCCCCCCCTCGGGAAACACGGACCCCTTCCCCTTAAAACGGTAGAAAGAGTTATGTATCTGAAGAAAATACTAAGGAAAATGTACAATTCCCCCCCCCCCCCAGGTTTTATAGGTTTTAGGATGTCGATTATTATTATTATCATTTGCTTATCAAAAGCTTCCCGAGACTGATATCTGTTGGAGTTGATGTGGACCTCCCTGGAAAAAAGTTCATGGATCGGCGCATGCACATTTCATTCTTTTGTTATTTGGTCTGAAGGATTGCCAGAGAGGCTTGCCACATTTCATTATTTTGACCATTCTTTCTAGATGCTGATCACTACGATTATGGTGCCTAGCAGTTTAGGAGGTTGACCTCCTGGATATTCGTCAATCTTTGCCGTTGCTCCTTGATTAGGGAAGGTGTAAAACTTCAGAAGTAAACAGTTCACTGTCCGTCTTATATTATATAAATATTGCATGTAGTTGAGTGTAACATTGGAAATTTTCACCCCAAGAAAACCATTGTCAACCGAGGAGCAGCCGAAGTTAACAATGGTTTTCGAGGGGTGAAAATTTTCAATGTTACACTCAACTACATGCAATATTTATTATATTATACTGAATGTTTTATACAAATACATATTAGAGTGAACATTGCGCGCATCAAATCTGCGCAGTCAATATTTTTTTGGAGTAACACCCGTCGTCAAGCAATGTTGACTGTTGTTACGCTGGAGGGCGTGGCTTCATTATTCAGTAATAGTGTTTTATAACAAATGCTTCTCGACGAATCAGATTCAACTAATTTATATGAAAGTATGATATAAGGCATTTACACATCATATAACTACTGCTTCAGGAGTTTTACCACCTTTGTTAGGCTAGGGATTGCCTCTATGATATCCGTTACTGCCTGACTATAAGCATGCTTCCATGTAGAGTTCCATTAGTAAGTAAGGTCAACCAAGTAAGATTTCCTCTAAGTAGAGAAGGGTCCTACTAGTATATAGATGTATTTGTAAACCAATAATTATTTAGTCATTCTAAAAAGGAGTACCATATTAATCATGATTTTACAGACAAGTACTCCAAGGTTCATATTAAACGGATGCTGGAGTTTCTCATTGACAATATCTATGCAGTTTTTGGAGAACAGGTCGCACACAACTCTGTTGAAAATCCAGTGGGTAATAATTGTGCACCGTCAATAGCAGACCTATTTCTTTTCTTATGAAGCAGAATTTATTTAAAACAACAACAACAAAAAAAAAAAAAAAACAAAACAAAACAAAAAACAAAAAAAAAAAAAAAAACAACTTTTGTCTCTTGCTGTGGCCTTCCATTCAACATTTAGATATATCGAACTTATATCAATTAACAATATTTTTATTCCAATGATGATTCTATAAATCCCTTTGAACTCAAAATAAAAGATGCTACAGAGTCAGAGACATTTGGCTTTTCTAGTTTGCTTAAGAGACGGGATTTACAAGAGAAACATGCGACGGACCAGACCGGGATTCGAACCCGGGCCCCCTGAATCTCCAGTCAGGTGCTCTACTAACTGAGCTATCTGGCCACCGGCAATCGAACCCCTCTGACCGCCTACAGAAAATAATACCAAGATACTGAAAGCCCTCCACAATAGTGAGAGGTTCATTATTGTATAAAAATTAAGTATTCTTCCCCTCTTCTGTTTTATTTTGAAAATATGACAACATTAGTTTTAGCAGCACCAACTTGCAAATACAATGTTTTACAGTATAAGCATGTGGCATTAAGACCTTGTAATTCTCCAGGAAATTCAGCAAATATAATAGTGTCATCTGTATACAGAAGTAAATACAACTTAAAAATACTTCAATTTCATCCTTGTCAAAAATTAAAAGTGAAATATTATATACATCTGTAAGGCCATTGTATGCATGAGACAAAAACTCTGCAAGGTCATTCAAAAAATTGGAAATAACAATGGGGAAAGATTTTCACCTTGTTTTACACCAATATCAGATGAAAAAATAGTCAGAGCAAGTGATGTCATTTCACAATTTTTTGTACAAATGTTATGATGATCAACATTTTACCACCAATAGCATTACTCAATAATTTCTGTTATAACAATACTACTCTATTAACTGAATCAAAAGCCTTAGATAATCAATAAAAGCACAATATAACTTTTTCCTTCTAAACAGAAACAAATCAATGATACATTTCAATTAAGTTAAACTTGTGATCAGTTGTTCCATATCCTTTTCTGAATCCTGCCTGCTCTTTACAAAGTAAGCCTAAGCTCTCTAAATAATTAAACAATCTATCAATCAGAACACGTTATCAATTTTCCAAAACAGCTTAATACAGTAATGCCCCTACAATTATCTGGATTTCTAAGGTCAACCTTATATTTATAAATTGGACATATATAACCTTCTGACCAAAAATCTGGTATAATACCACTCGTGAAAACAATGTTAAAAATCTTCACAAATAAAGGCAGAAGTTTTACAGAACCATACTTCAAAAATTCATTAAGTGTCATAACATTCATAACATTCTCACAAGCCTTGTTATTTTTCAAAGATTTAATTGCATCAGTTACCTCTTTAGCTGTAATAGGTTCATTTACAACAGAATTAAATTCAGTTACATTCTCAGGCAAAACTACATCAACATCATTGTCAACATTGTTTAAATTCTTAAAACATTCATTGCAACCAACTTTTTGTTGTACAGTATTACTCTTATTACAACCTTTGTTCAGCAAAGACCAATATGATTTTGGATTTGTTGTTCTAAGGCCTCTTAGTTTTGCAATAAAATCTTTTTGATACTCATTAAGCTTCCTTTGTAAAGTTTTTTTTTTATAACTTTTACTTTTACTGACAAGGTCTCTATGATTAGCCTCTGAACGAATTCGAACACTGTAATGATATTTGCAAGACATTATATGCTTTACGTTTCACATAGCAATGCCTTTCTACTTGCAAGATGCTAACTGATGTTTGCATTTTCATATGAGAACTATTTGAGATGGTAACAAACATATCAGCCTGTTCAGCTGTATTCTTGATTACATTCATTACAGTCAACAATAATACTATTACACTGGTGTTGATAGAATCAATGTTCTCAAGTGTATCTATAATAGATTCAACTTTTGTCCTATCAATGTAATCTGTCAAAACAGTGGCCCGTTCTCTGACCCATTTAGGTTTTAAATTTTGTTCAATATTTTGTCCTGACAATTCATTATATGAAGGACAAATGTACATACTGTCGATTAAAGCACTATCACTGTTTACAGCATTTGCAATGCACATTTGTAAGGAAATAGGCTTGTAAATATCACTAAATATTGGTTCATACAGTTCTGGAGAAACAATACTATAGTCTATAACAGAGATACATGTATTACTATATAAATATTGCATGTAGTTGAGTGTAACATTGAAAATTTTCACCCCAAGAAAACCTTTGTCAACCGAGGCGCAGCCGAGGTTGACAATGGTTTTCAAGGGGTGAAAACTTTCAATGTTACATTCAACTACATGCAATATTTATTATATTATACTGAATGTTTTATACAAAGACATATTACAGTGAAACTTGCGCGCATAAATTCGGTGCAGTCAATATTTTTTGGAATATCACAGGTCGTCAATCTAACATCATGATCATATGTAAATTTTAATATACTTATGTCACAAAACTTACTACCATGAATACCCACACATACCGATACATTCTAAACTATCAATATTCTACGCTTGCATACATATTTGGATGAAATATATTCACAAGATTTTATGTACAACTGCTTACAGACAATGAAAATACTATCGCGGAACCGGAACTACGTCACTTGATCTGTCAATCAACGGAACGTGCTATTAATCGCGAGCAGGGTAAGTCTGTCACGTATTGACGCGATGTATGATATGTTTGATGTGATATGTTTATTCACCAGTCTGTATTATCAAGGGTCCTGAATGCTTGATTAAGAAAAGTTTAAATGTTTACAATGTCGCATTTCATGTTCAGTCGATTCTTGAAATGAACATTGAGTCCCTGATTGTAGGAAATGATGGTTTATCATGATGCACTTCGATATATATAAGAATGTTTCGTACTTTCGGAATTGTTTATTTTGGTATAATTTATAAAACTCCTTTAGGTAAACTAAGACTTTAGCAAAGAAGGTGGACTAAAATCGTGGTCATATGTAATCTAAATATAGACTGTCAAACTGAGCTAACATCATTGTTATTGTTGACCTGAAAACGTGCATGGGTTGTGATGAACTTTTACCATGTTGTAACATATTATACTGTATTATGGGTAAATTGTTATGTTGTCTTGAGTTAAAATGAATATGTGAAGGAAAAAAATGTCAGTTATTCTTGCAATTGAATGTTTATTCGATGTACAAAATACACGTCTTGTAACACGAAGACTCGGGTCGGGAAACGGATAACATTTTTCCGGATTGCATGAAGACGTATTTTAGAGATATATTTTGCTGAAAAAAAAAAATAAAATTTCATGAAAAGTGTATGAGCAAGAAGAAGATGCTTTAACTTGAACACATATGAGCGATAAACATCATTTGGAAAGAACTTAAAGTTTGTAGAAAGGAGATGGGGAGGGGGGTCAAGAATCTCTGAGTATTAGTAAAATATTTCCCTCATTTTCCAGTTCTTTAACAGTATTTAAATATTCCTTTACACAAATCAGTGCTTTATATAAAAAAAATCTTCTCTTTAACTACGTATTTTTAACTGAATTTTCAATGCATCCCCCCCCCCTTAATACTAACTAGTATATATATATATAGATATATTGTAGGTTAAAATTCTTATCAAACACTTATATTGAAATGATCAAAATAATGAATATAATATCAGAGTGTAAAGAAGGAAGCTAGAAAACGATACATGCCCTGTTCACAGAGTTATATTGTTTGTAGATTTTTTTTTAGATCGATCACTGTTCGTTTTCTTCACCTTTTTCATAAAGCACTCTCCTAAACAAAATTCTGAAATATCGCAGTATCGTACAAATACTTCTGATATCTTGTCATCTTCGCTTGTACAGTGTATGTTGAATTCATTACTTAATGGGTAATATCAATAGCTAATTGATGTACTCAGAAACAAGAGGCCCATGGGTCACAACGCTCACCTGAGTTATGTTTTTGGCCCTGTTGTCTTCATCAAATTTTTCCCTCTATACATGTGTATTCCTATGTACTTTAATGGCACCATCTTATAGACAAAGGTCATGATTTGAATAAAATTGAATCTACACTACTAGAAGATGCTTCCATATGATTATGACTAATCAAGGCTTTGCTTTTCAACACAGAAGGGTTTTTTTTTTAAATCCCTTTCTATAAATTTCTATGTAAAACTATGATTATTTATTGTGGTCCTACCCTACCCCTGGGGTTCAAGATTTCAACAGACTTAAGTTTATACCAAATGAGGATGCTTCCACATTTAAAATATGATTCATCACGGATTTGGTGTTCTTGAGAAGAGGAGTTTTAAAGACATTTCCTTGTATAATCTTAATATGTAAAACTATATATATATATATATATATATACATATATATATATATATATATATATATATATATATATATATATATATATATATATACATAAATGTAAAAAATCGCCTATTGTGGCCCCAGTCTACATGTACTCCTGGAAAGGGACATGATTTGAACAAACTTGAATCTACAGAATCTGCGGATGCTTCCATCTTAATATGACTAATCATGGCTTTACTGTTCTTGATAAGATTTTTTAAAATATATTTTTTTCATATATATTCCTATAACAAACTTTATTCCTTATTGTGCTCCCCCACCCCCCGGGGGATACTCTGAACAATTTTCAATCTACACTTCAATAGGAAACTAGGAAACCTTCATCTAAGTTTCATCTTTTCTGGTCCAGTGGTTCTTGAGAAGACATTTTTTTAAAAAAGATTTGTCCTGTATCTTTCAATGTAAAATTTTGATTTACCATAGTGGCCCACCCAACCCCCGCGGGGCCATGATTTGAATAATTTGGAATCTTCTCTACCTCAGGAAGCTTCAACATATGTTTCACCTTTTCTGACCAAGGGTTCTTGATAAGATTTTTTAATGACCCACCCTAATTTTACCTTTTCTTGATTATCTCCCCTTGGAAGGGGGGATTGACACTTCGATCACTTTAACAATGTAAATTCCCCCTTTACTCAATGATGCTTTGTACCAACTTTGACTTATGGTTTCAGCTCAGGTGAGATAAAAAGCAGTCAAAGGTCTTTTTGTTTTTCTATTTTGAAAAATCCAAAAAAAGGATTTTACAAGGACAAAGCTGTTGAACACTTAAAAATGAATGAAATCTGGTAATGAAATGTTTAATATAATTTCTTATTTTGTTATTGTAGATAGTAATATGTCTAACTTCACAAGAGAGGAATATCTAAGACTTTATTTTCCCAAAAGCAGAAGGTCACGCTGCAAAAATTGTGAGGTAAGGGTCTTGCGTCACAAATACGTACCGTAGTTTTTTTTTTTTTAAATACCTGACACACACAGGGAATGATTAACAAACAAATACCTAGTTTTCTTTATATACATGTACCTGACACACACAGGGATTGGTTAACAAACACATACCGTAGTTTTCTGTTTATACCCGACACACACAAGAACTGGTTAACGAACACATTCCTAGTTTTCTGTTTATACCTGATACACACACAAGGATTGGTTAGTGTAGCGGACTGTACATAGGGAACTTATACTGCCTTGCTAGTGAGAGCGGTAGAGTCTCCCTCTATTTCAGGCAAGTTAAGCAACGGTGAGCCTGTATAACCCTTGGAGGGGCGACAGCTTCACGTTACAAAATTGGTGGCAGCATAGTGACTCTGGTGTCTGGCAGCCTACTTCAGCAGTAGAGCTAGGACTTTGTGTCCATTTACAGACTTGGTGTCTGTGGACGACAGAGGTTGCCGTAACTGAAGAGGTTCAAGGCCTGCTTCAGGAAGCTCAAGGGAAAAGACTTTGTGTCCATGTACGGACTTAGTGTCCGTGGACGGCATTGGTTGTCGTTACTGAAGATGCCCAGACACTTAGAGAGAACCCATGGTAAGCTTCGGGTCGAAGCTTCCCTGAGCGGGGGGAAGTGTATCGGATGGTATATAGCGAACTTATACTGCCTCGCTAGTGAGCTACCTTTCTAGTGATACGGTAGGGTCTCCCTCTATTACAGGCAAGTTAAGCAACGGCGAGCCTGTATAACCCTTTGGGGGGGGGGGGGGGAAGGGGTGACCGTTTCACGTTACAGTTAACAAACATTTACCGTAGTTTTCTGTATTATCACACAGAGGGATTGGTTAAAACACTAAGTATACCATAGTTTTTTTTTGTTTTTGTTTTAGCACACAAGGGATTGGTTAACATTTGAAAGAAGAGACACACATACACATGTATCGTTTATGTTTTTTTCAACAAGTTTAAAAACAGATGATCCATACAATTTTTCTTTATAAGTCCTTAAAATACTTAAAAAATCTATGTTTATATTAGTAAAATGATTATGTTTAGCAACATAAATTGTCATTTTCTTTCGAACTTTATCAATATTATCCTTTTAGTGTTAATTTTTTTTTATATAGATTTATTGTGTAGTAATTTGTCTACAATTTCTTGATGTTTGTTTATTGAACAGTAAGACAGTCTTCAGAAGTTCATGTAAAACAACTGCGCAATACTTTTATTAGTTACACTAATTCATAATCTTATTTAAAATTTGTGCAGTTTGAGATAAAACATGATTAAGCTTATTTTTCCTTCTTTTAACTCAATTCTTTTTACACACAGTCTCTGGTAAAATGTTTGGTTCAAATATTAATTCCCAATCTCATACATAATTGCGTAATAATTTTACTTTTATAACTGTACATGACTCTCACCAAGATCTCAACCTTAGGAAATTTATTTTTTAAAAATGTATCTAAATTTAGTGAGGTGATTCTGTAACAAACATTATGCTTATGTAGATTATATGTTTTTGCAACAGTTATCTGCAATATACATTTTAAGATAAAGAAAGTTTTGATATCTGAAGTTTGGTACATTTTTTTTTTATTGTTCATTGAAAAATCGCTAGGTTCAAATTTGAGTCAATATATACATTTACTCATCATCGGATACTCACTGGTGATCTCGATCGTCTTTTACTCATCACCCGTGGGCAAACTCACCGAAATATCGTCGTAAAATATGCTAATTTCTTGATTACAGACAACCAATCAGAAAATTGGAACTCTTCAATTTTGAATATACATTAATTTCACGCTCGCTAAATAGTGCAAATTTTGTTTTAAAACAATTAAAAACAAATCACTTACATCAAAAACCAATAAGAAATTACATGGGAGTACCTTTCTCAAACTGCGAAATGCACCGGTGAGTGGATTTAAAGTCCGTGTGTTAACTACGGAAACGTTTTTGTAATTGCCGAACATACGTATGTAACATAAACTTTAATTTGTTAATTTGCCATCGCGACTCTGTGGAGCAGCCAACCAAATGGCCATCGCATATTAATTACATACGACGATTTTGCGGCGCGTTTGCCCACTGGTGAGGAGAAAGGACGAGATCGCCCGTGGGTATCTGACGATGACATTTACCTTGTTTTGTAGGGCTGCCGGGCAGAAAATTGTGGCCTGTGTACATACTGTAAGGACAAGCACATTTTTGGTGGAAGTGATAGATTGAAACAGTGCTGTATCAATAAACGGTAAATATCGAGTGATAGATTGAAACAGTGCTGTATCAATAAACGGTAAATACAGAGTGATAGATTGAAACAGTGCTGTATCAATAAACGGTAAATATCGAGTGATAGATTGAAACAGTACTGTATCAATAAACGGTAAATACAGAGTGATAGATTGAAACAGTGCTGTATCAATAAACGGTAAATATCGAGTGATAGATTGAAACAGTGCTGTATCAATGAACGGTAAATACAGAGTGATAGATTGAAACAGTGCTGTATCAATAAATGGTAAATACAGAGTGATAGATTGAAACAGTGCCGTATCAATAAACGGTAAATACAGAGTGATAGATTGAAACAGTGCTGTATCAATAAACGGTAAATATCGAGTGATAGATTGAAACAGTACTGTATCAATAAAGGGTAAATACAGAGTGATAGATTGAAACAGTGCTGTATCAATGAACGGTAAATATCGAGTGATAGATTGAAACAGTGCTGTATCAATAAACGGTAAATACAGAGTGATAGATTGAAACAGTGCTGTATCAATAAACGGAAACTTCAGAGTGATAGATTGAAACAGTGCTGTATCAATAAACGGTAAATACAGAGTGATAGATTGAAACAGTGCTTTATCAATAAACGGTAAATACAGAGAGATAGATTGAAACAATGCTGTATTAATAAACGGTAAATACAGAGTGATAGATTGAAACAGTGCTGTATCAATAAACGGTAAATATCGAGTGATAGATTGAAACAATGCTTTATCAATAAACGGTAAATATCGAGTGATAGATTGAAACAATGCTTTATCAATAAACGGTAAATATCGAGTGAGCATAAAATCGGTAAGTATCGAGTGAGTATAAAGTCGCTAAGTATCAAGTAAGGATAAAATCGCTGTTTCGAGGGAGCATAAAAAAGGATCGTATGGGATGAGTATAAAATCTTTAGATATCGAGTGGGTATAAGATCTTTAAATATTAAGTAAGTATAAAATCTTTAAATAGCGACTGAGTATAAAAACGTTAAATATTGAATGAGTATGAAGTCGGTAAGTATCGAGTGAGTATAAAAACGGTAAACATCGAGTTAGTATAAAGGTAGTAAATATCGATTGAGTATGAAATCGGTAAATATCGAGTGAGTATGAAGTCGGTAAATATCGAGTGAGTATAAAAACGGTAAGTATAGAGTTAGTATAAAGTCGGTAAATATCAATAGAGTATGAAATCGGTAAATATCGAGTGAGTATAAAATAGACTGGAATAAATGAAAAAAAAATTCTGTAGTCAAAGGCAAATTGACAGAAAACCATGGACACATGAATTTCAAGTCAACCAGGACCGAGGAATTGATTATCACATTGAGTCATTGACAAACTATTTCTAAAAAACTGATAATGTTCATTTTTAAGCAACTTGAAATAAATTTTGTAAGTCTTATGATAATGGCAACTACTTAACGGTTATAATGCTCCATAATAGTAACCAATCGTAACGTCAGGGTGTTGTAACAGAAAGGTCAGGAGTTGAAACTGAACAAACATTGCGTTCAGTGGCAAATGGATCAGGAACTGCTAACAATAGAAAAATATAGGACAGCAGGAAAAATAGAAGTATCCAAAAAATTGAAAGACAATAAGCATACTTACATGTATCTCAAAGTATTTCTTAATAGAAACATTTGTAAAAATGTATAACGTGAATAATTATCAAAAGGATGTAATAAATGACGTCACTAAGACAGGGTATTTCCAATTTCAGACACCAGTTAACAAATTACAATTATTTTTACAGATGCAGACGTCTGTTCGACCATGGAAAGGTAAATATCATGTTGGTGAAGAGTTGTCTTTCTTTTGGACAATTTTTTTTAAGTAAAAAAAATAAGGTTTTAAAGAAAAATTTAGACTGATGCTTAATAATTTCCTTGCTATTTTGAGATATAGGTCTAAGACAAATGTCCAGGTTTGAAGTAAACGTTTTCTAAAATTCTCGGTATAATATCATGGCTTACCAAGTTGCTAGAACATTTCAGACCGATTTGTTACAAAAGCGTATTTAAAAAATTTCCTTTAGCTAAAAATTATTAAAATTTCAAATTTTGAGACGCGTTTGATTGACACATATCCTTGTACCAGCTTCCACGAAGTAAAATTTATCCATAATATTTAAGAAAAAAGTGGTAAATTTGTTGTGTATTAATGAAAAATATTAAACCTATAATCCAGAAAATTCAGACTAGAAATATGAGAAAGTAAAACCAACACACCGGTGTTGTCAGTTCGTATTCAGTGGTATCTACAGAGTAAACACATCCGGTAAACCGTAAACATAAATTATTTATAACAGAGCTCGTGCCCAATGTTTCCAAACCAAATGCTTAACGTAATATTTTGAATATCATGGTCCTTGAGTTTTTAGATTTTTCATGAAAAATCAATTCTTTAAGCTAAAGCTATTTAAAAAATAAATAAATAAATAAATAAAACCAGAAGTTTAAAATTATAAACAAATCGGCAATGCAACTGTGTTCAGGCCCATTTAATATTTATAACTATTTTTATTTTAAGAAGAGAGAGAAGGGTGTTCATGAAGTCAACTGAAAGCAGTTTAAAATGTGTATCAATACTTGATGACAGATGATAAAAACAAAATATCTTCAAAATTCATGAAAATAACAGTTGAAGCCATGTTTAAAGAAGTAAAATAAATTACTTTAGCCGCATACTAGTAGATTTTGATTTTTCATTCAAATTTACAATAAAGTGATAAAAATTTGGATTTTTAAGGTTGTCGAAAAAAAGGTAGAATTTTTAACATCGTAGAAAGTTTACAATTTCTTAATATTTTAGAAATTTGATATTTGGATCATTTACAACCAAAATATGTCCAAATATAAATATCAGTCGAGGCATCGATTTTTTGTGTTTGTATCATTTATTCATGAAAGAAAGTAATGCCATGAATCTTCGATTTTTGGAAGTGTGTGCATTACAAACTAGATATTTTATATTGCAGAAAAATAGCCTATCAGAACCGGAACAACCGGTAATTCAGCACGCACAGTACAATCCAAAACCTGAACCGAAAATACAGCACGCGTTTGTCTTTCTCCGGGACATATGTGATGAAAAACTGTTAACAATATTTAGGAAAAATCCGACCAAAACGGAAACTGAAGACACAAACACAGTATCAAATAAAGCGCCAAACGACATCATGACGTCACAGAATTTAGGGCGGTCTCAGAGGAAGAAGAAAGCTAATTATCATTACTTAAATCCTGATAAATACCTTCTTCCTGCCAAATTTGGGAGGAAAGAGTGTCCGATAAACAGTGATCCTTTGGAGGGTGTTGATATTAACAAATTAGTTGCCCACGTAGAAAGACAGAATGAGCAAGACAGGAAATTCTTACAGGCTGAAAAACGGAAGCGTTTGGTAAATGACACAGAAATACAGTGTATGCCACCACCGATATCAGAAACTGAGGACGAGAAACTACATCCTTATGGTTATTTGAAATCCATACCGCCTTCCATAAATAGTCCAGCAGCTTTCAGTTCTTTCAAGAGTTCGTCCTTAAAAAGTCTGCCATATCTGACGAAACAGGATAAAACTTCCAATAATGACGCAGTTTATACATATAGGGGCGTTTCTGACCCGCCTCTGAATGACCTATATATGGATGAAAAAGTAAACGTTGGTTTTTCCGGTCTTTCTTGTAAGCCTAATGACGCTTATTTTAATGAAATTTATACAGACCTGGACAAGATCCTCCCAAACCTAAATAATGAACCAAAACATAAGAAAGGACTTCAAGAGAGAGAGGACAAACGATCAAATACTGGAACAGAGAAGATTTCAACTCCAATAACAGAGGACAGAGCAGTGACGAGTGTAACAGAGGACACATCCTTTCTCGTGAAATCTGTTGATCAATCTGAAATAGAAAGTCATTTGACTAAATTGAATAAAACAGAGGTTTCAATGGACTACAACACTGAAGGGGACATAAATATTGAAAACATTGAAAACACCGTATATCAGGGCGTAATGAGAGAAACAGGGAAAGAACAAGCCAAGGAAGAGAAATATTTCCAGCTAGATATAGGAGATAAACTTATTTTTATCCCTACCGATGGAACTTGCGAAATTCCGAAAGCGTTTGTGCTGGACAAACCTTCTAAAGCGCCAGAGACCAATCTAAACTCTGGAACAGGGAAAAGTCTGGTCTCTGAACAAAAGTCCTCCGTTGATCCTGCTGAAGTTACAGAAAGTACCCCAGTTAAATCAGAGCTTATGGATGGTTCGGGCGATGACTCATTGCCGAAAATTACAAGCGTGTTCAGTTTGTCTTCAGACAGAGTGTCTGCAGAAAATAACATAATTGAACCAGAAACATCATCTTATACGACAGACCGAGATAGAAGCATGGAATTGGATTCATGTAAAGTGCCCATGGAAACCCACAGTGCATCAATTCAGCTCAAACCATCACTAACGACAGAAAAAAATAAGGAAGTTTTTTCATTAACAACAAAGGGTACGAAATTATCAAAACTCTCGATAGGTCATTCAAGTGGAACGTGTCCTGCGTCACCTAATCCTTCCGTTTGTCAACTTACTTCATCAAGTGCAAACAGGCCTACGGAACTGAAGATGCGTTTGTCAAACCTGGGAAAGCTTGAACACCTTGTGAAATCTACCGGTAAAGCATTAAATCAGTCTAACGTGGTCAATCTACCAACTTCCAACGCTTCACGCAAGGTCGCTCCAGATGTTAAACAGAGCGCCATTCCAGCCACAGCACAGAAACTATTGCTCATTCCAAAATTAAGTAGCCCGCATTCTGATGGTAGAAGCACTTTGTTTATCACTTCAACTCAAAACAATAAGCTACAAAACATTTTGCCCAACGCAAAATTACGCTTTGTTGTTGATAAACCACAGACGTCAATGTCAAACATAAGTTCGTGTAAGAGGAACCCTGGTGTTAGGACGACTGGCTTGGCGGTTATTCCAAAGGATCCCTCGAGGCCAGTTCTACTTTTTCCGAACAAAACAAACGCTACTTTCAAGCCTATTGTATCACGTCAGGTAACTGTCAATGCAAACAGTTCTCTTCATTCTAAAACTGTTCCCTCTTTTTTCAAGACTTCAGGTAACAATCGAGGAAATCAAAGCAATGCTAGTTCTCGCTCAGGCCTAGTATCATCTGCTTCAAATAATGGATTTTTGGTTCAATCTGGCGTTTTATCAGCTGTTACTGAATCATTAAGGTCGTCTGAGCGGAATGTGTTGAGCAGTAGTGCCCCTCTCAATACCAAACCAAATTGCAATGATATTGAAACACAAAGCAAGGCTGAAAATAATCATTCAAATGCAATTAAGAAAGCCAACTCCTTTGGCCAGGAATGGGTCACAGTTAAGTCTAGGCCGGGTGACAAACATAAGTTTGAAGCTGCTATTCTCACAGACGTAGTTAAAGAAAAAAACGTTTTTGAAATAAATGGCGAAACACCCACTGCTAGTGAGAGAACTATTTCACAAACCAGGGAGAGGGGTAGAGAACAGACCTTGGAACACAATATTACGCACGTACACGCCGAAGAGATGGACACGGAGGAGCGCATCCGGCGACTCAGAGAAAAGATGCGCAGTCATCAGGAAGAATGTGAAAGTTTGAAAAAGACTTTATCGATCGATAGTGAGTTATAAGAAATGACAGTTGTTAAGATGTTTGGTGTTTATTAAAAATCGAATCTTTTAACATGTTAAGTTATTTTTGTTCGAGTTGCAATGTGCGTAATTCAAGAGACTGATCATAGATATACATAATGATTTATGGAACATTTAATTCGAAACTTAAATCACCCAGGTATTCAGGACAAATTTTCACCCTTCAATTTTTCTCTTGTAAGTAGATTTCCCTATTGTAAAGGAAAAAGTACACTTTCAAAAAGGCGACGATGTGAATTGTCTCCAGACAAACAGACGTCAGAAAGAGTTCACCAGAATGACTCGCTCGTTTGAGAGGCACATTATGATTGAATAGGGGATAGTAATCCACGCATATTGAAATAATGTTTGAAACAAATTAGTGTGCAGATTGCCGAATCTCAGGATGCTTTGTACAAATCAACATTTATACTGTAGAAGATAGCAATTGGTATGGATCAATGATGTTTCTCTCACGTTTGGTTGAAATTGGTCTGTTGGTTTTGAGAAACTTCAATGTAAAAATTAACGGACACCAGAAGGACACACAACGGACAGCCAGAAAATCTCTCTTGAGACTTGAACTCAGAGGAGCTAAGAACAAGAGGCCTGTGTGCCACAACGCTCAGCCAAGTTATTTACTTTGACTATCCTTCTCCTCAGAAGAAAATGTTCAGAAATTCTTTTTAAGACGATGAAATATATGGAAATAACGAACAGTATTCAAGCGCAAAAGTCCATTAAACAATACAAATCAGGAGCAGAGCAAACACAGACCTCTGAAACATCATAGGTGGGATCAGGTGCCATGGAGGAGTGAGCATCCCTTGTCGACCGGTTACACCCGCCGTGTACTCCTTGTCATGATCGGAAAATAACGGAAAAATCCGTCGACAATTCAGTGTGTAAATAATGGCCTAACAATTAGTGTGAAAACCGTCAGTCAGCGTTTGATTTAAATTAATGATAGATTGTATTTGCTGACAAGGTTATTGTATCGACCATAGAACGTACGAAATGATAACTTTAAACGTGACTGCTGATATTATTGTTTCATCAACTTGTTTCTCAATAACCTACTTCCTGCTACATTACTGCATAAGAGTTCAACCTATGTTATGCCCAACCCTAGTCTTAAAGGAGTATAGGTAAACCAGACTTGGAGCAAAATTAAATGTAGATGCTTAATATCAGAATGAATAATGTGGCCTTGCTGTTCTAGAAAAGTGTTTGCAAAAAAATCTTATGTGCATATTTTATGTTCATTGATATGTTCCAATTATAGACCAACCCTAACACCGGGTCTACTGTTTAAACATACTAAAAACTGTAAGTTTTGCCACTGTTTCCATATGTATTCCCCTTGCTTGATTCCCTTCTTTGGAATTATCCTATCCCTCTTAATATTCGTATTAGCATATTTACTACAAAAAGACGTTAATGGTAACCAAACAACAAAGCTTAATAATAAACGAAATGACTTCAACTTTTCAATCATCAACTTCCCTTACTTGTGTAGCAATATACCCTTATCACCTGCACGTGCTACATAAGTTTATGTCTCTCAGTTGATTCGATAAGCGAGAGCATGCTCTACGTATGAACAATTTCTAAAACAAGGCGAGCTATTGACAAACATATTGATGAAACAAGAATATCAAAGCCTCGTTTAAAGTTATCATTTGGCAAGTTCTAAGTTGATACAATGACCTTGTCAGCAAAATACAATCTATCATTAAGTCTAATGCTGACTGATATCTTTCATATTATTTGTTAGCCATTCTTTACACACTGAATTGTCTACGGATTTTTCCGTTTTTTTTCCCGATCACGACAAGGAGCACGCGGCGGGTGTAACCGGTCGGCAGGGGATGCTCACTCCTCTATGGCACCTGATCCCATCTCTGATGTTTCCGAAGTCAGTGTTTGCTCTGCTCCTGATTTGTATTGTTTTAATGGACTTATGAGCTTGAATACTGTTCGTTATCTCCTTATTTGATACACTTGAATTTGCATTACCAGGGATGATTTCTTATAAATTAAACTACTAATAACCCTGATGTTGTTGAGAAGATTTTAAAAGACTTTTTCTTATGCTATGTTAAACTTTCATCTCTTAATGTTGCCACTCCCTTGTCGTCATTATGTGTATTTGAATAAATTTGAATTAGCATCGAAGATGCTAGCATATGCATATATTTGTTAAATATTGACCCTCTATTTTGGCCCCACTCTAGCCTCAGGGGCCTCGGTTTGAACAATTGTAAATACCAATCATCATGGAAACATGATTTAAGTTATTATTTTCAAGATTTTTATAAAGTTTGTTGTATTATCTGTCCTTAAATATTGTTTATCAAATCTATATGTTATTCTACAGTGCTTTAGAGTAAATCTAGAAATATATTTTGCATTTATAAAGAATGAAGGCGTGCAAGGCGCGGAAGATCCCCGCTCTGAGAAAAGACATTTTTCAATTCTAAAAGTTCATGAAAAGTTATATTTTTTCAAAAATTATATTGTCAATATAATCTTTTACACATTTGTTTCCAATATTTTGTTTAATAAATTATTGACAAATAATTTATTTTTCACTAATGTTTTTAAAGGTATGTGAAGAAGAAAAAAAAGCTAAAAGCTTCACGCATGATTCGAACTCTCTCCAAAGCTCATGGTTAGGTTTAAGACTGAACGCGTTAACCACTACGCTACGAAGTCTGCTTGTCCTGTTTGATGTCAGTGTGATTTAAATAAACGAATTTGTTGAAGTGTAATTTTTTTTTTCAGAAATGTTCGATTTTCAGATAGAATGGGTTCAGACTTCCTTTTTTTTTTGAAACGTGAAATAAATCTTACATTTACTTTTCTGTCATATAAACGTTAATGGAGAATGGAGACTTGACCCATTCATATTCAAAAATCATTTTATGGCTCTGATAAACCCATTTCCTACTAAATATGCTTTACTGTCAACTTTAAAAACAAATCATCAATCAACAAGTCATTCAATAAAATAACTGAATCAAATGTTCGGAAGAAAACATTACGGAAAGCATTAATTTAGAAAAATATAACTTTTCCGTGAACTTTGAAAATTGAGAAATATATTGTCTCAGAGCGGGGGATTGTCCTCGCCTTGTACGCCCCCTTTCTTTATGTATTGTAATTATTGTTATTACAGATCTATTAGGAAGCTTTCTTTTCATACCCCCTCTCTCCTCCGTTCGTCTGACATCAGAATATTTCTAAATGGCAACATCGGGATTTTTCTATTTTTTAATTAAATCTTTCTTGAGAAAGGTCTTGCCTCTTCCTTGCAAAAAAAATAGTCCCCTTAATCAAAGAATAATTGCAGGAAAGTAATGTGATAATTGACCATAGGTTCTGGAAAATAAGTTAAAGGTGTGAAAAGTTAACAGATGACACGCGACTGACGGACAGACCGATGTTCTGCATTTTTCGATCCAAAAAGCTTAAAAGGCTAAGATGTGCTAAGAAAACTTTAATGCAAGTATTTAAAACCTTAAATTTTGCAGATTTATTCAAGTATTCAATCAAATTATTAACATTCAATGTACACCCAGGATGAATTAGGGAATGTTATCTTTTTTATTGTTAGATTTTCCCAGGACCAAGTATGTTAGCAGCGAACCCGTATCCATCATCACGACTGTGACCATAAACCATAAGACCAAATCGGGATTTGTCTGTGGTCTCTACTCGGTGCACACCTTTGGTGGTACTGACAGCCATTGCGATATACTCTGTGCCTCCGACTCTGACAGAACTCTCAGACACGACGTCCGAGGAACTAATGATGGCATTGTCTACTCGCAAGTTTTTCTTTGAACTTTTCTTCACAATTATTGAAATATAGTTTTTATCAAATCCATCTGGTACAGCGATCTGATACTGATGAACATACTGGTTAACACCAGGTACCATTGTCATATAGGGATCTCCATTCCTTGACCTAAATGCTCCAAGACCAAAACTCAAAACAAGCACCTGTCGCTTAGCTTCGATGACAACCGCTTGTTTACCAGTAACAATTTTATCAAAGTTACCATATGTGCCTATAGTTTTTGTATTTTTGGATGTGTCTACAGAGTAAGAGAAGGTTGTGGACCCAGTGTGAGCAGCCACCACTTTGACATGAGTTCCACTTCTCTCCATGTGTGGAGGAACCACATAGGTTGTATCCAGGCTTTCCACTGGAGGGATTTGCTCCACCAAATGACTACAGTAGCCGAATCGGTTTAGTTTGTTACATCGATTTCCAGAGAAAACTGCAACAATCTTACTTGAAGAAATTCTGGTTCCAGTCAGATCGCCATTATGTGAAAGCTGGAAGGTTTGGTATTTGTTCAAATTTACAACAATTCTGTCCCCGTCCGTATACCACTTCCCAAGATAGCTTATAGATTGTCCTATAGGAAGTTTTAGAACAACTGTTACACGTGTTCTGTCTTGAACTGCTGCAAAGGCTATCTGGCTGTTGTAGTCAGAGTGGCGGCTATCGTAAGGTACTGTTGTTGGCACTATATACCTAGTCCCCAGTCTGTCTGTCGGCAGGATAAGAGTGCTGTCAGATGTATAACCGTCATGATTCAGGGCGAATACCGAAGTAGTTTTAGACGTCTCTACTATAATTCCTTTGTTTTCCACTTGAAAATCGTTTGTTCGAATTTCGAAGTGAATGGTGAGTATCTTCTCAGAATTCGATTTCATAGATTCTCTCCTGTCTATCTTGGTCTTTAACTTGGAAGACAAGCTGGCAGATGTAGTAACTTTGAGGTCTGTCTTATCTATGGATGCAATGTAAATCTGTGCGTGCTTTGGACCAGGACTTGTTTGCGTGGGGTCCATTATATTTTTCATGAAGAGAACAAGAAATCTTTTTCCTCGACTTCCTTGAAGAGAAAAAGAACACAGATTATTGGAGTTATATAAGTTTTTACACATGTCAAAGCATCAAAACGTATCTTTAAAGTCGAACTGCACTATACAGATACAGAAATAAATAGGAAGACAATTTGCTTAAATTCCGCAGGTAATGTACATTAACCGAGATAATCAATCTATATCTGAAAGGAGTAGAAAGTAAGAGGTATTAATTACTATCTTCACTAGAGACTTATAAGAGTATTAATATTTCAATTTTTTAAAGAAAGTTTTTAAATGATTGATGAAAAATCGATAAGATAAACTAGAAAGGAAGAAAAGAAAACATCTTTGTGGGCTTTATGGGTATAAAACAAGCTCTTAAAAACTAGATCTTACCAGTACATGTTTTTCCACCCCCAAAGAAACCGAAGTAACAATCACATTTGTAATCTCCTCCTTTAAAAAGATCTGTACATTTGGCGTATTTACTACAATCATCTGTACCTTCCAGGCAATGTTTAAGGGCTGTAAAATTATGAAAAGTAGTTTAGTTCTATTTTTTGCAAATGTCTTGTAAAAACGTTTAATGACGTTTTTAATGCAGTGATTTTATGACATACATGTAACTCGTGAACTGTTTTGAGCTGTAATATCATCTTAAACGTTAAATACTGGCGTAATGTGAAAATTTTATTGCGGGTTTACGAGGAATAAAACGACATGGCAAAATTGATTTCAGAATTATCGAAAAAAAAAGATTCTTGTCAGCATAGCAAAATAGTGAGTAAAGCAACAGAAGATTTTAAAAAAAAAACGTTCACTGTCTTGATTTACTGATTAATTTATTTACTTTTTATTCATTATTTTATAAACATAAATTTTTCGAGTTAAGAATAAAAATCCTTGCAATGTTTAATTTACGATTACCTTTATTTCAAGGATTCATTATATTGTCAATCAATTTTATCGTTTAACTTTTATTGCATAAAGTAGCCCAACATACACCCAAAACTAGTTGGGCGATTATTCAGAACTTTTTATCTTAGAAATGTTTGAATTCGTGTAATTTTATAAAGTATAGTATATATACAGGTATTTACTTCAGTGAGTTGCCAACAATTCAAAAAAAAAAAAAAAAAAAAAAAAAAAAAAGAAAAACAGAAAAAAAAAAAGAAAAAAGATACGTGAACACTTGAATCCATCCCCTCTATATCCAGACTTACATTTACATATAAAGGATCCAATAGTATTTTCACACATGGCGTGGGGTCTGTGACAATTATGTGTGTTCTCTTTACATTCATCAATATCTGTGTTACAAGGAAATAGTATATTTAGATATTCATCAAACTGAATAAGATGTGTATAACGTTATGTATAGAACCAGAAACATTTTAAAGGTGCTTGGACACAGATTTGAGGTTAACATTTTTCTCAAATTTTCGGTAAAATATCATGACTTATATGTTTTTATAGCATTTCAAACGGAAATAAAATTAAAAAAACTTATTTTATCTGGAAATGATCGAAACTACAAATTTCGGGACGCGTTTGATTGACACATCTATGCACTTTCACAAAGTAAACTTTATCCTTCATACTTAAGAAAAGTAGAAATTTTGTTGTGCATTAATGAAAAATATTAAACTATAATCCAGAAAATAAGGTGTAGAAATGTGAGAAAGCAAAACCAACTCACCAGTATTGTCAGTCCATGCTCAGTGATGTGTACAGACTTTAACAAATTGAACACACCAGTGAAACGTAAACTGATTCTGTAAACAGGGCACGAGCTCTGTTATTGCTAACGTTTACGTTTCACCGGGTGTGTTCAATTTGTTAAAATCTGCACACATCACTGAGCACGGACTGACAATACTGGTGAGTTGGTTTTGCTTTCTAGAGAAGTATAACCTTAAAAAATAAATTCAATTAGAATTTAACAATGCATATTTCTGAGCATAGCTGATATCCCCCACGTTTGTGTGTGTGTTTGCTGTCATGATGAATCTTTACGTAACTTAAACTTTTATGATCAAATAGACTAAAATGAAGTATTAAATTGTTTCAGAAGAAAAGATTTCTGTACAATGTGATGTATAGTATTATATAAGAAATCAATATTGTTCAGGACGACAATAATGTAATTTTGCTTCAATCAAAGCTTTAAATTAGTTCTATCACAAACACAAACAATAGAAGTTTATAAACGTTCTTTTTTCAGTCATTGAAATAGTTTTACAATATTGCAACAAAAATTTCCGGCATCATAGTTGCAGCTCATATTGCTTTAATTAATCCTTCACTGTTATTAATAATGAACATTTCTTTAAATATCAAATACTTCCAGTTTAAAAATTAGAATAATAAAGGTCTGATATTTTTATTTTTGAGTGAAATAAGTCATATGAATTTTATTTTTTATCATCAAAAGAAAAACAATTTGATTGCTGCATGATGTTAGAGAATAAAATGATAGAAACGAGGGATATCTTTATCATTCTTAAGGAGGTTCGATCCTGAGCTTTTGAGCAGATTTTGGTCTGGACCTTTATTTGTAAAATTCTGCATCATTTTTAAGTTCAAACATTAAATCTGGATTCTACAATGCAAATTAAACTATATCCAAGGGAAAAACCGCGATTAAATTCCATCTAAATAGGATTAAGCCAGGAACTATATTTTGTGGCGGAAGGTTTTTTTAGGAGAAATTAATATATTTTCCCTTTTGAAATATATACAGTACTGTTAAGTTTAGATTCATATTTTTCCATGCTGGTTGCACACTGAGCTGTTTTTTGCAGTGAATTGTTTCATGCTGGTTCTGAAATATCTATTAAATTATGTCTTATGAATTCTTTCATTATATTGTGACAAATATAGTAAATATAACCTGAAAGTCCAGAAAAAAAAATTTAGCCATTTTTAGCATAAAATTAGAACCTTTTTAGTAATATCTAAAAATTTATATCATACACCCCCACTTTTGTTTTTCTTTTCTGAATATATAAGATAACTTTGATCAACCTGCCTAAATTCAGCAGAAGTTTAAGACTTTAAAATAATTTTCTTGCTTGTTAAATTTTTAATGCCAGAAAAATCACATTTTTGAGTGCAGAAAGGTAAAATAATTGATTATGCGAAGCAATTTGAAACTTTTTGTTAGTCACAATTTTAAAGTGTCTTTTTCAAAATAGACTAATAGTTTATTCTGTCCCATGATTCATTTGGATAAAAACATCGGAGGGAAAACGTCGAAGATGTGATTTTTGATTAAGACACAAATTTCAGTGCAAAAAAGGTCATATTAAATGTACTGTATATATATATATATATATATATATATATATATATATATATATATATATATATATATATATATATATATATATATATATATATATATATATATATATATATATATATATATATATATATATATATATATATATATATATATATATATATATATATATATATATATATATATATATATATATATATATATATATTTCATTTTTAATGCATTTTGAAATAATTTTTACATAATATTATATTTTCACGATTTACTAATATCTTTTATTATATGATTAAATAATTCCTATCTCTCTGATTGGCTGAGATCCAACAATGAAGGAAAAAAATTACAACGTTTTATTCACCTGCACGTGACCTTCCAGGTGAATATTATACAATTATGGACTCTTTCGGTGGTGAATATAGTTTGTTATTCACCAGAAAAATATCAATATTGACCGAGGCGAAGCTGAGGTCAATATTGATATTTTTCTGGTGAATAACAAATTATTTCTGGGCCACTTTATTTAGCAAACTTTCAAGTATTTTCAATATTTTGTTTTTAATTCCAGCTAGAAACATACAATCGTTCATCATTTATCACCTAATTTCTGGTACATTGACACTTGTTTGTGCTAATTGGTTTGATTTTATTTTTACATATTACCAGAGGATTGTTAACAGATATTTAGATGCTTGAATTTTTCATTCATAGAATTGTAACTCTCTAAGAGGCAAGGGAATGCTCATCGTCTCAAGCCACGGTCCGGAGTCCGCATATAGCTCTCTCCTACATTTTTGCCGTGTTTTTCGACGATGGGGAATGCTTAATTAAGAGAAATATCGATATTTTGTGCACATATTTTACCTGTACAAGCAAATCCGTTGCCTTCAAATCCAGAATTACACTGACATGAATATGATCCAACGGTATTTGTACACATAGAATATCCTTGAGTTTTATCACAATTGTTCGTTTTTGTAGCACATTCATCAACATCTGAAATTAATTCAAACAAAGGTATAAAATTATAAAAAGAATCATTTTCTATTCCTAACTATATGCATTTTTTGAAAAATTAAAAAAAAAAAGAATGACTAATTTGTTAAGTGAATTCATTGACAAAATATTAAGGAGACTTCACCACTAATGTATTGCAAAATAATGTTTTCAGTAGTTTCTTCCTTTTTTTCTGTAAGGTCACCTTATATTGTACATCATTAGGGAGACCAGAGGTCATCTTAAATTGTACATTATTAGGGAGACCAGAGATCACATATAGTTATATATAATATGGAGACAAAAAGTCATTTTATATTGTACATCAATACGGAAACCAGTAGTCACCTTATATTGTACGTCATTAGGGACACCAGAAGTCACAAAAAGTTGTATATAATGCGGAGTACAGAGGTCACCTTATATTTTACGTTATTAGGAGAGACCAGAGGTCAACTTATGCTGTAGATCTGGAGGGGGACCAAAAGGTCACCTAATGTTGTAAGGAGACAATAGGTTAAAAAGTAATGTATATAAAGAATTATTTCCCAAACTCAGAATCCGATTTTAATGACAAGCGAAAACAAAAAAGGTACACAATATCTCCAAATTCACTAAATTTATTTCGGCGGAATGGGGGTGTGTTTGGACTTAATATACATGTATATGATTCTTAGAAGCAATTCTCATGAGATCCGTGTTTTCTAGGTCTATTTTTAATAAGTCTCTTTTTGGTTAGTTTTGTTTCCCCATTTGCTGATCAGCAGGGTTGGTAATTGGAGTTCAGCATCTCCCTTCCATTAATTTTTCACTTATCAATTAAAGAGGGAACACCTGTTCTGTAATATAAATCAGGAGGCCAGAGGTATATTGATAAGGTCACCTATTGTGGTATGATATATATCATTGAGAGACTAGGGGTCACCTAACGTAATTTATTACCAAATTATTATACCATTATCTTAAAGTATCTGTGAAAAGTCCAAGGGGGCATGATCACCCCCCCCCCCCCCCCACCCATACCCCGCTAGATCTGCGCGTGCAGAGACAAAAGGTCACCTACTCTGATATATTAATAAGGAGACGAGAGGTTGCTAGTGTGTTACTTTGATACGGTCGCTTAACGTCGTTGTTCATCATTAGGAGACCACGGGTCATCTAACGTAATTCATCACCATATAACTTGTATCATGTATCTTAAAATATAACAGTCAATGTTGCTTGCTTTACCCCCTATTGTATGAAATATATGGAGATAACGAACAGTATTCAAGCTCAAAAGTCCATTATACAATACAAAATAGGAGCAGAGCAAACACGGACCTCCAAACATCAGAGGTGGGATCAGGTGCCATGGAGGAGTGAGCATATTTCCTAACATTAGATGATTATTCTTTAAAGAAATGCATTTTCCGTTTGTTGTATTATATTTGTAAAGGCTTTCCAGTAGAAGAATTTAGTCTACTTTCACTTTGCAGTTGCAATGCACTATATTTTGTAGCGGAGTAAACAGGTTTGATAGCTGTGAATGAGCAGGTGAACTTAGGTCCTAGATGAGCGTAAATGTACGTTCTATCCTACTGCGTTTCGAAAATAGCCTAATTTTAGTATCGGTATAATATAAAAGTTAAAATATTTCCGCCTCAGGAAATAATTTCCTCCCTCATGGAAGCATACATTTGCTATTCCCCTCATACCCATTCCATAATTGTATACTATAATGCACAGTACAATTTTCATACTACTGTTGTATCCCCGAGAGCACATATAGTAGGGACAGTACTTATTCGTAATGTCAGAATTTATCGAGTTTTTTCAGCAGGGGGAGGTAAAAAGGGTCAGTAATTGTCTAAGTTTATCAACGCCGATTAAGATTGTCAGCAATTTTTATGTTTATCAGCACCGGTGTAACGACGAAAAGTGACCCCCGTAGAATACTGACAGGGGGTCACTTTTTTAACGTAGAAATTTAACCCCCTGGACAATATTCTACGTAGAAAATGCTCCACTTGTTTGTAGAAATTATGGCCTTGGGTTAATTTTTCTCCGAGTGGGTTGTAGAAAAATGACCCCGTGGAATAATGACCCTGTCGTTTTTTTTTTACATCACAACCCGACTCCATTGTATACTGTATATCATACCGAACTAAAGAGTGTGCTAAAATTTCAAGCATCTGCGATGAGTTGTTGCAGAGAAAACCGCAACGAAAAAAAATTGTTTCGGACAGACAGACGCAGACACTCACCACCCACCCATAAACATAGAGACAAGCAGGGTAAAAAGTATACCCCCTTTCCTTAAAAATTCATGTAGTAAATAAGGATAGATGAACCTGCAAGAGGGAAAAAGATATTACATGATATTAAAATGAAAAACAGTAATTACAGTTATGATAGAATCTCCATACTGGACGTTTCATTTGCCGTGCTTTCTCTGTGTTTTTTTTTCTTATCTAAAAATAATAATGCAGTGCCTTTTTTTTGTTTCAATGCATTGGTATATCAAGAAACTGATACACGTAAAAGTTAGGATGGAGGTAGGTTGAAAGCGGGCACAAATTTAAAGCTAGAAGTATGAGGCCGCAAACTTGTCCTTTAAATGGTTTCCGATAACATCACTTCCATACAGGTATATGATTGTCAGAAACATATCATGTCATTTTGAGAACTAAACCTAGGGTCTAGAGTGGGTAGATCCTCCCAAACCCCGGATTAACGCAAATCACACCTCATATCAAAAGGTGTAATTATAAAATATAGTGAAAAAGTAGGGAGTCAGATTTCTATGGGGGTAATTTCTCAACATGTGTGGAGTCGAAGAATTACCGGCCAGGAAGGTTTTTCTATGGTCAAAAAATGACCCTATTTGTCGTAGAATATTGACCCAGGGTCATTTTTCTACGTAGAGATTTGACCCCCCGGTCAATATTCTACGGGGGTCGTTACACCGGCAGTAAAAAGATCAGTAATTGTCTAAGTTTTGCAGTTAAGGCAGTAGTATCAGAGGCCCATTTTACTAAAGAACTTACGACTAAGACCAAAATTTTATTCTGCTGCTAACTTTCTAATTTACAAGAAATTTAAAACGGTTTTAATCTGTTTAAAAGGAATGTCGAAAGATAATTTTACGCTAGCAAATTTGAACAGAATCAATAATTTTGCAAAATCTTACAATGGACTAAAGTTTTTGGTCTTAGTCGTAAGTTCTTTTGTAAAACGGGACCCAGAAATTGTCTATGATTGTCAGTAGAAAAATGGGAACATCAATACATTTCTTGCTTGTAGTCATAGACCTTTTAAGTAGTGATAGAGCTTACCTCTCTAAATATACTTCTATTTAACTTCAAAAATATAAGTAGGTGGAATTTACAAACAGAGATACAAATGTATCCTGTAAATGTTCTATCAGGACTCTCTTTACTTAAAAACTCCATGGAGGGCTAGAAATGAACCCCCATTTTTCTATACTAGGTGTTGTTTTTATTGAGCAAATATCCAAGCCCCCATTGAAATGTGAATGTTAGATAAATAGGCCCACAACTCTTTTTCTTATCTGCATTTCTCTTCTTTTTTTATATTTTGTATCACATAATACAAAGTAGATGTTAAAATACTCGATATTTCAGAAATATCACCAGATTAAACAATTCCTAACCAACACATAGCATAAATAGGTCTTTTATTTTTGATAGTAGTTATTTTGATCATCAGCAAACAACAGAAAGTACACTGTATATAAACTAAATGAGAGGTTATCCATGAAAACTGCATGTATCATTAGAAAGTAGTTAGGGGATGTTGTCGTTAAATAACATAGTAATGATAAATTAAAATGTATGCTATTAATCCAACATTTTAGATAAATGTGTCATGACAAAATTCTCAATAATTTCTTGGAATACTATATATAACAGAAATTACGGTAACAGAAGATTTAAGTACCATACAGTCAAAGATTGTTAAGGAATGTATGGTGTTTTTTTCAAACCAACATGCATTCTTTTGGGATATAAAGCACGATAAGATTCCATGAAGATCTTACGCACTCTACTTTGAATCATTCTGCTCTTTCTGAACAGAAACAAAATTTTAAATAATATGTAAGAGATTGTGTTATGGTTCGAAGGGCAATAAAAGTATCAAGAACGAATCTGTATGTAACATACAAAATGAATGACCATTCAAGTGTTTATATCAAACCAACAAATCGTTCCATCAGAAGAATAGGGTGCTGAAAGAAATTCATTTGATTATAACTCTTGGTAGAATGTAATTAACAAGCTGACAGAGTACCTGAGCAGTTTTTTCCCGTGCCAGTGAATCCAGGTTTGCATGTACAGGTAAACGAACCAATTGTGTTCCTACACACAGCATCGCTATGACAGGTGTCTACTCCCAGAGCACACTCATCAATATCTAAAAGATCATATCCTAAAAGGAATCTAAATTTCCCACATTATTTTTCAATACTTAAAGATTTATACTTATCTAATCAACAGTAGGAACGAAATGTGAAGAGCCACGAATATTTATTTGATGCACAAAAAATATCATTTTGTAAATTGAAATTGTTAAAAAAATAATTAATGAATATTTATTAAGCATAGCGTAAAAATACTTTTACAAAATAAGTACAATCAATCCCCTTTACAACTCTTTAAATTGATTAGCAGTTATCAATAAATATATTGTTTCAAATCAACTTATGGGATATATGAGTATCAAAATATACAATATTAAGTCGTACATCCTAGAGGTAGGTTCATGAGTCTTGGAAGAATGAGGCTCTCCTATCGACACACATAAAAAAGACTTGAAATTGCTATGATATATGCCATAACCCAGCGATAGGATATTTTTGCTTAAAAAGGTCATTTTTCGGATCATAGAATTCTGAATTTAAACTAGGTTGTTGAAATCCCTTTAACATCAACTTATCTGCCAGTAGCCTGCCTCGGTTTAAAATTAATCGTACCATGAGCATGCTCTAGAGTATCAAATATGGGTTGGGAGACATATTCCTTAGCACATTAATAGCGGAATGTATCTACACGAATAAGAATAGTTGGCGATAAAAAAGCTGAAGTTATCTTGTTTGACATAAAGTTTAGTTGTTAGTTGGCCTTATTGTCTATAATCATTAATATATATACAAATATGAAACAGATGTGGCAGACGAGATGGAGCCTTTTATTTCGAGTCACTGAGATATATATGGAGTAGATATATGAATGACATTTACTATTGTTAATTGGTAAGACATCATGAATTTATCTGTAGAGTAGAAGACAAATTAACTATTTTCCTCTTCTAATACAAAGTTTTTGAATGGACTCTGCTTCCTTGGAATATGAAAACTGTTCGAAAAAAAAAAAAAAAAAAAAAAAAAAAAAAAAAAAAAAAAAAAAAAAAAAAAGAAGAAGAAGAACAACAACAAGTGCTAATCAAAATTTCAACAGTTTGTTTGAAGAACTAGCCCCGAGGTTATAAAACATTTCTGATTTTAGATTCGTAGTCAAACGTACTCCATGATCAACATTCATACTCACAACTCCAAAACTGAGGTCAGAAAACTTATCATACTCAGACTCGGTCTCCGAAAGAGTACATACTCAAGAGTCGCCAGATTGGCGCAGTGGTTCAAGCGTTTGCTCTAGATCCGCGGAGTAAATAGTTGATCCTTACGTCGCGGGTTTGAATCCCACTACGAAAGGTTTAAACAAGTCTCTCGGATGAGACCGTATAAACCGAGGTACCGTGTTGCAGTAGATGCTGGAATGAAAAAGATTCCTCAGTATTCAATGGTCCTGCATACCAAGTATAGGTCTAAAATTTTCATACCTCCACCGGCAAGTGGTGGTGTCTCAATATGAGTAAAAATTATCGAAAGGAACGTTAAACTAATAAACAATCTAACTTACTCAAGATTTTCCATGTATACTTCGTAGTATTCTCAAATGGTACTCAAATATATACAAATCAGAGGGGATCGTCTTTCATAGTGTTAATACAAAATGATGAATATAAGATTTAATTTCTGTGTATGTCACTTTTAGACTTGAGAAATACATGTACGTTGACCAACAAAATTGAGTTAATTTGTGCCAAGCGACCATATTTTCATACTTTGATATTGAAGAAAACATTTTTAAAGCTTTTCCACGTTAACTGTTGAGGAAAATTAATCTGTCTGATGGATGTTATAGAATATGAAAGCTGTTATAAGATATTAATTGCTTACAGTGAATTTCAACCCTTTACACCAAAAAGATGATTTTTCTGTCATTTCAAACGTTTACAAACACTCAATTTTCATTATAAAACTCAGTGGTATGATTGTTTGATTTGGATTAATAATGTCCATCCCATAAAGCTTGTGCACTAAAGGCAGACAGTTGTTATAACAAAATGTCAGTAAAAAAATGGAAAATTAAAGTACTACAGGCTTTAGGAGAAATTTTAATGTAGAAGACAAATGGTTCTAAACATCTATGAATACGATCCAACCTTATTCTTTTTAATGTTAATAGATGTTAGTAAATTTTGAAAAAAACAGTTAATTTAAATTTAATTGTATTAAAGTTTTCTGTGGATTTTTTTTTTGAAAATCTAAATTTGATGTACACTAATTATCATTAATCAATACGTCAAATTGTGGGCCATGTCAAGAATATTGTTTTATGTGAAAGATGTTGTATAAATTTTGCTTCTAACAAGTGTCTGAGTTAAGCACTAGAATAGTTGCATACCTCCTTTTTCCCAAAATTAAAATCAATCTAAAAATTACACAATTTAGCACCCTAGATTACCTGCATGATAGCAAAACAAGTCGAATTAATTCTGGTGAGATGACATTCAATTATTTAGTCTTATGTGGAATCAAAACAATGCTTGATATTAGGGACAGCACAAACCATAAGATACATTCGAGTATAAAGAGATATAAGAATACTCGCAAGTAGAAATGTTAATTTATTCGTCAAAAAGACATAGCATATGGGAATTAGAGCTTATCGATGATTTAGTCTCTTTCAAAATGCTTGAGAATTTTAAGGCGATATACAAAGCAAAATGAGTTACTGCAGTACATATGTTGAAGTACCTTTCTTATATTTATATCACAATATCAGAAATATGTCAAATTATGACGCAAATCACTCAAAATAAGCAGACTGAAGACATAAAAATACATGACTTAAAATAAAAAGATGGTAGTTTTTCTACCTTATGTAAAATGTAAATTTAAGAGACAGTGATAAATTCATAGATCCAGTAAAGAAACCGTACCGTGAACAAGACAAAACACGGAACGCCACCCCTGGAAACAAATGCAGTTGGATTAAGTGATTAGGAGGAGAAAACATCACCTTGTCGACCGGCAACATCCACCGTGAACCTATGCATTGATCAGGAAAACAGATTAATCTGTAGTTAAATCTAGTACGAAACAAGTTAAGTATTCCAGAAAACCTTATATGTCATCTCTTTGGTTTCAATAATGTCACAGAATAATACAGTCTATAAATTTGTCGGAATCTGATATTTTTCATAGTAATTGTTAGGTTATTATTTACACACTCAATTTTCTACGGATTTTACCATTTCTCGATCATGACGAGGAGCACACGGCAGGTGTGACCGGTTGACAGGGGATGCTCTTCCATGGCACCTGATCCCACGTGCGATGTTTTGATTGATTATTATCATTATTGTTTATTTTCTTGAAAGATATTGTATTGACAGTTAACACATTTAATTGAAATTGCTAATTATGAAATGGGCAATAAATTAACACAAAGAGAATTCGAAAAAATAATCAGTTACGTTGGTTTCACTACAGGTGTTCATTTTATATCGGAAAGGGTGAGATTTCGACAGACCAGAGGAGAATTCGAACACGGGTCCTAAGCTATAGAGAGGTGTTTTACACATAAAGTGATAAGGTCACCAATGAACAAAGCTGAGAAAAAGAGAAATTTTTCCCTATGTAAGAGTATTTCTAATTAAGATCAAAGATAACTGCATAGATGGAACTGTTTCCTCAATAAACTTCAGATATCATATTACCTGTACATGTGTAACCGTCTCCTTTGAATCCTTTCTTACACCTACATTTGAAGCTTCCAAATGTGTTTAAACACTCTGCATGTATGCGATGACAGGAATGTAAGCCCCGTTTACACTCATTCATGTCTAAATAAGAAATACATACTTTACCTTCACAAAAGCTTTGTTATTGATATGATTGGAATGTTTTAGCAACATACGGTATAGCAATATATCCCCTAAAGTTGGTAGATATTTTAGACGAGAAATAATTTTAGCGAGTTTATCATGTCCAGAAACAAAGCTATAACAAATGGTAAAAAATAAACTGTTAGAAACATTCAATTTTAGCGATATCGAAATCCTAGCTAATAATATCAAAATAAACTCTTTGTTAAAAATTCTGCCTTTACGTATATATCAGGTTGAAAGTTCATGGGAAAGTGACAGATTAATTTACATCACGATTTTCAAATCTTGATGATATTGTTTGCATATTTATGCTTAAAAGTATCTATGAGCATCTAATTCTTTTGGATTACCTAATGTCAAGGATGAATACTTAAAAATTTAACAGATCTGGGTGAAAACGTCAATTCCACTATAATAGTGATATCGTCACTATAATATAGTAATTATTGTCAATTATTGTTCATATTTTAAGCACCATGACTTGTGCTTCAAAACGCAAGCATGTTGTTTTAAGAAATCGAGGATAACTACGGCTGAAAAATATAGAGGCATCTTAGTAGAGTAGTAATATACCACAATTATAGGGAAATTTAAACTCCCCCCAAACCTGTTTAGTATCGTTAATCCTGCATACTATAGAAAACATTAAAAAATGCTTATTTTCTGTTGTTTCCATAGATAGAGCTATTGGGTTTCTGAATTTGTATGCATTCTCATTTATTTTTTAAAGCTACCGTAACAAAATCTTCCTCCTCCATAAAACCCTGCTCTGCAAACACAACCAAGTTGGACATCTCTAGTCATTACGCAATCGGCATACCTTCCACAACCAAGAGGACATCCCTTTATATCTGTGATTGCATATCCATAAACAGTTATAAGAACATATTATCAGCCAATCAATACATTCACAACAATTTTATGCTTTAAAAAAAAAACTGCAGTGTCAGTGGATTTAAATTTCTATACAGTCAAAGCCTAAGATAATATATATTATTTTGGGTATTAAACACAAGAAAAAAATGTCTTCAGCGTTCTACATTTAATTATTGTGTACTTTTCCGGACCAGAGACAAAATTTTCAATCAATATGTTAGAGATTACATTTCAATTAGAAAGGAAACAGTAAAATAAAATTTGAAAATCTAAAATCACAAAACTTTACCAAAATCATAACATCAAAACGTACGACATTTCAACACATTATACAACTATTCTTCATAATAAACTATTGTCCAAGCTTTTTGAAATCATGAAATAAATTGGTACTTGTAAATTAACTTACCTTGTCACAGGTCATTTGAAAAATTATTTTGTTAAAACATACTGATTGTACATACAAGTACTCCAAGGTTTATATCTAAAAGTCAAAACGTGTTTTCTGGAGATTAAGTCTTTCAACAATCCGTCGGAATACTAATTGCGCCCTGTTATAAGATTGATTGATTGATTGATTGATTGTATGTTGTTTTAAGTTCCAAAATTTTTCACTCATATTGAGACGTCACCATATACCGGTGAAGGGCTTCAAATTTAGACCTTTACTCGGCACTCAGGGCCATTAAGCATTGAGGGTTCTTTATCGTGTCAACGTCTGCCGTGACACGGGGCCTCGGATTTTAAGGTCTCATCCGAAGGACCAGCACTTTCACTTCAAAGTGCCGACCGCTTGGCAAAGGAACAGTTACTACCTATTTTCTATCGACTTAGGTCAGTCGCGGCTGTGATTCGAACCACGACCTTCCGATCATGGAGCGAGCACTCTACCGACTGAGCCACCGTGACGGCCCCTGTTAAAAGAAGAACTATTTCTGTATTCATATGAAGCGGAATTTTAAAAAATCTCTTACATGAAAAGAATTCTCTTACTGTTTCCCTAGATTTAACATGTGGTAGGGCGATTGCTTTGTGACAAGGAGGTCCGGTTTCGATTCTTTTTGCCCCACCGCATCAAGTCTAGTATTTAACCATAGATATTGACGGCTCTTCCTTCAAGTTCACGGCAGTCATGGGTCTTTCGATTGATTGATTGATTGTATGTTGTTTTACGTCCCATTCGAGAATTTTTCACTCATATAGAGACGTCACCATATACCGGTGAAGGGCTTCAAATTTTGACCTTTACTCGGCACTCAGGGCCATTGAGCAGTGAGGAATATTTATCGCGTCAACGTCTGCCGTGACATGGGGCCTCGGTTTTTAAGGTCTCATCCGAAGGACCCGCAACTTTCACTTCAAAGTGCCGAGCCCATGGCGAAGGAACAGTTGTTACCCATTTTTTTTTATCTACTTATGTCAGTCGCTGCCGAAATTCGAACTCACGACCTCCCGATCACGATGCGAGCGCTCTGCCGACTGAACTACCGTGGACGGTTGGGTCTTTCGAATGAGACCTATAAAATTAGGTCCCGTGACACGGTAGGAATTGGCACGATACAAAATCTTACTACTCAGTAGCACTGAATGCCGAATGAACATGTTTTAAAAGACATAGGTATTGTTTTTACCTTTACAGTTATATCCATCTCCTTTAAACCCTTTCCTGCAAGCACATGTGTAGTAACCTGGGGCGTTAGTACAGGTAGCCCGAGAGTCACATTTATCCAGTCCTCGTTTGCATTCGTCTATATCTGTTAAAAAAGAAATCAAAAATCGTATACGTCCACTATGGGCAAATACGTCACCATTATATGAAAAATGAAAAAACGAAAAGTAATCATGCTCAAAAGTCCATTTAAACAATACAAAGCAAGAGCAGAGCAAACACGGATCTCTAAATACACCAGAGATTTATTTCAAATTTACTCAGATCATGCAAAATACGTTCAAGTACCCAAAACAATATAAAAAGATGGCTATAATATACCTTTGCAAACTGTTCCTGATCGCTCATAGCCAGCTTTGCATGTGCAGATAAAGGAACCGTTTGTGTTTGAACAATACGCTAAACCATTACAATTATCCGTACCCAGAGCACACTCGTTAATATCTATAAAATGTAGTTTCAATTGTAGAAAATGAAATTGCGTAAACGAAACATCAATATTATTTGATATATTCTTTGACATATAAATATTGATTGTTAAAGATATTGTATAAACAAATGTTAACAACATCTTTGTTGACATCTAAACATGTAATTTACTCACCAACACAACTGTATTTGTTTACATTAAACTCATAACCTTTGGGACAGGTACATCTGAAGGATCCTGGGGTATTCACACACAGAGCTAACCCCACACAGTTGTGTAAGCCTTGAATGCATTCATTAACGTCTGCAAAGTAAAAAAAAAAAATAAGCGATTCTCTTTTTATGATATCAATTGGTTTAGCTTGAATAAAGTTTCATGGCTTTTTTTTGCATTATTTTTTTGCTGCTTGCTGACCTTTTACAGTATTTTTTGAAATCAATATTACAGTGAAACCTGTCTAATCCGGCATGCACTGGGAGATGAATTTTGTGTCGGAATAGACAGGGTGTCAGATTGCACAGTGTAAAAAACATGGAAAATAGTAAAATGGGAACGAAATTTAACGCTGGAATTCACAGTGTGACGGATTGCACAGGTGTCGGATTAGACAGTTTTCAATGTATATATATATATGTATATATATAAAACCTGTCTGCAAATACAATTTTTCATTTATATTAGTTGAATGTTAATTAACATTTCTTATGCAAATTGTTAGGTGAATTGTCTTGGGATTTTTTCGATTGCCCACTCATAATAAAGAGCACAGGGCGGTTGTGACCGGTAGACAGGGGATGCTAACTCCTCAACTGCGCCTGATCTCACCTGTGATGTTTATAGAGGTCCATGTTTGCTCTGCTTTCGATTTGTATTGTTTTAATTGACTTTGAGCTTGAAGACTGTTAACTATCATCTCCATTTTTCATTAGTATAACCCAACTTAAACGCTTTATAAATGAATGAGGTTACGTTCTACGTTTTGATATTTTATATAAAATAACATCCAAATTCTAAAGAATTCCACTTTGAGTTCTTACTCCAAAATACGTCAAGTTTTTCTCAGTTGAGAACGTACTCTAAAAGATGTATAACCTCAAGCATGAGAACTGTATTCAGTGGAGTACATACTCTGTGTATGGAGTAGGAGTTTGAGCATGAGTATGGTAAAAGTGTTATAGCCTCGGGGTCTGTTCTCCAAAGACTACATAAATTTTGTCAATTAGGAACTCCAAAAATTCCTTTTAATATCAGTTGCAAAGTACCTATCTATAGAATCAGAATGATTCATAGCAAATTAATTGTACATGTGATGATGGCTTATCACAAGATATGAAAATTCCCAGTGCATTTTTAAGAAGGAAGAAGGACAAACCGTTGTCTATGATATGAAAAAGCCTATTATTAATTAAGCGTGAGAAATAATACACATACACATAAAGTGTAGAAAAAAGTGATTACATAGAATGCAGTAATAAAAACGAATCGTAAACAGGGTAGAAACATAAATCTCTGGAAACACCAGAGGTGGGTCAGGTGCCTAGGAGGAGTAAGCTTCCTCTATCGATTGTACACATCCGCTGTGAGACCTATGCTTTAATAAGGTAGACACGTATTTCATAGTCAAATTTAGTATAAAAGCAACGACCTTACAAATGGTTCTAAACATCTACGATTTTAAGCCAACCTTATTCATTTTAGTGTTAATAAATGTTAGTAAATTTTGAACAAAAATATTAATTTAAAGTTGATTTTATTAAAGCTTTCTTAAGAGTTTTTTTTTTGAGAATATAACTTTGACGTACACTAACTATTATTAATCAATATGACAAATTGAAGGCCATGTCAAGAGTTTTGTTTTGTGTAGAAGATATTGAATAAATTCTGCTTCTAATAAGTGTTTAAGTTAAGCGCCAGAATACCCCCTTTTCCCAAAAATTAAGATTAATCTAAAAATTACACAGTTTAGGACATTAGATTTCCTGCATGATAGCAAAACAAGTCGAATGGTTTCTGGTGAGATGAGAATCATATAGTTGGTCTTATGTGGAATCAAAACAATGCTTGATATCATGGACAGCACAGGTCATAAGGGCTTTTCCCGTTTTGCACACATTTGAATTTCAGGTATTGAAAAAATGTGTGCAAAACGGGAATTTGTCCAGGTAAGATAATTACTTAATTGCTATAGTCTATATCATAGCTGTGAATTTGGAGAAAAAGATTCTACGGAAAGAATAGGAAGAAAAAATGTTAATTTTGCATTTGATATTTTGACCTAATTCTTGAAAAATCATTTTAAAACATAAAAAAATAACAAAAAACTATAGTTATATTCACATGATACTAACTAGACAGGTTAATTTAAGATTGAATTCATTTACTTACTCATTTTATCTTTATGAAATAAATAAACATGGTGAAAATGCGATATGGATATTTGTCTAAACTTCCAACTTCATCTTCGGTTGGATACGTCAAATTCTCATAATCTATTCCCTTAAATATTTATTATAATGCATTGGTAAAATACAGGTAATTAGTTAAATCCCAGACGAAGATCAGACTATAATTGCTATCAAAACATATTTCACACCTATTGTTCTATACCTAATTATCAAATGTGTGCAAAAGCGGGAACACATCGTCATAAGATGCATTCGAGTATAAAAAGAGATATAACAATATTTATACTCGCAAGTAGAAATGTTAATTAATTCTTCAAAATGATATAGCATATGGGACTTAGAGCTTATCGATGATATATCCTGTCGTCTCCTTCAAAATGAGTGGGAATTGTAACTCGACATACACAGCAAAATCAGTTACTGCTGTATATACGTGGAAGCACCTTTCTTTGATTTCTTCGAGTTATATCACATCATCAGAAATATGTTGAGTTTTTGACGCAAATCACTCAAGATAAGCAGACTGAAGATATAAAAATAGATGACTAAAAATAGGATAGTTTTTCTACCTTATGTAAAATGTAAATTTAAGAAACAGTGATAAATTCCATAGATCCAGTAAAGAAACCGTATCGTGAACAACACAGAACCTGGACCCCTTGAAACAACTGAAGTTGGATTAAGTGATTAGGAGGAGAAAACATCACCATGTCGACCGGCGACATCCACCGTGAGCATATGTATTGACGAGGAAGACGTATTAATCTGTAGTTAAATTAAGTATGAAACAAGATAAGTATTCCAGAAAGCATTATATGTCATTTCTTTGGTTTCAATAATGTCACAGTATAATACAATCTATCAATTTGTCGGATGCTGATTGATATTTTTCATATTAATTGTTAGTTCATTATTTACACACTTACTCTTCTAACCGTTTCCAAATCATGACTACAACACACGGCGGGTGTGACCGATTGACAAGGTATGCTAACTCCTACATGGCACTTTATCCCACTTGTAATGTATTGATTGATTATTAGTTGTGTTAAACGCAGAGTCAAGAGTATTTCAGCCTTATTTCGGAGAGGTCCCTGTTGTTTTTTTTTTTTATTATATTATATTTTATTAATCAACCTGGATATATAACAGTTATACTTTTGTCTTTAAGTTGTTTAACTTTACATAAATTTTATTTAATTTATTGAATTACAGGAGGACAAATACGGTCAAAGTAATTTTCGACTTAATTAAAATAATTTAAAAAATCAAAAAAGTAAAAGACATTCAAATGTTATTTAAAAGTGAACAACCGTTTCTACCGGATTTTGTTTATCTACAGACAACACACTGGTACTTGCTTCGTATAAATGGCGACCCTACTTTCAGAAGTCCCTGATTACGAAACAAATGCCTGTGAGAAAAATGAGCATTCACATTTTACAATTACCAGACCACCAGCCAGCAATGGTAACTTACATCAGGACCCCACTACCTGCTTTCATGTCAAAATTCATATGAAAAACACTGGTCTAACGGTATATAATATGTCAGTCAAAATAAGACTGAAAAATATTTATATTTTCAAACAAGTTATAACGACGAAAGAATTTGCAAACTGCCGATTTAAACGAATGTTGTGAAATTATTTATTTGTCAGTAGCTATCTCAGCTAAAAAAAATTATCTTACATTGAACATTGGATTTGGCATTTTCCTCCAGAAATAGTTGTAATTTTATATATACAAATTGTTTGGTGTTTCAGAGATATACATTATACAAGGTATCGTATTGACAGTTAATCTGCTTTTCCTTGCATGAACAATTCACTTCATGTTTAATTGAAGGAGAAATATGATACATCTCGAATTTTTTGAAAGTACAAACAACGAAATTGCTAATTATAAAATGGACAATACATTAACACAAAAAGAATCCGAAATATAATCAGTTTTATTGGTTGTAAGTCTCACTACAGTTGTAGGAGGATTCGAACACGGGTCCTAAGCTAAAGAGAGGTGTTCTACACACAAAGTGATCCGGTTGCAGATGAACAAAGCTGAGAAAGAGAGAGAGACAGACTGATCGTATGATGTTTTACGTCCCATTCGAGAATTTTTCACTCATATAGAGACGTCACCATATACCAGTGAAGGGCTTCATATTTTGACCTTTACTCGGCACTCAGGGCCATTGAGCAGTAAGGGATCTTTATCGTGTCAACGTCGGCCGTGACATGGGGCCTCGGTTTTTAAGGTCTCATCCGAAGGACCCGCAACTTTCACTTCAAAGTGCCGAGCGCATGGCGAAGGAACACTTGCTACGTATTTTTTATCGACTTAGATAAGTCGCGGCCGAGATTCGAACTCACGACTACCTGATCACGGAGCGAGCGCTCTTCCTACTGACCTACCGTGAACGGTTAGAGAGAGAGAGAGAGAGAGAGAGAGAGAGAGATTTACCTATGTGAAAGTATTTCTAATTAAGGCCAAAGATAGCTGTATAGGTGGAACTGATTCCTCAATACACGTCAGATATCATATTACCTGTACATGTGTAACCGTCTCCATTGAATCCTTTCTTACACCTACACTTGAAGCTTCCAAATGTGTTTAAACACTCTGCATGTGTGCGATGACAGGCATGTAAACCCAATTTACATTCATTCATGTCTAAAAAAAAAAAAAAGAAGAAATATTTATTATTGTGTGCATACTCTACCTTCACAAAAGCTTTGTTATTGATATGATAGGAATGTTTGAGCATTATACCGTATAAATGGAATTTTTAGCGAGACGCAAATTTAGCGATTTATCCCCAAAATTGGTATATTTTTTAGAAGAGAAGTAATTTTAGCGATTTTATTAATAGTATGTCCAGAAACAAAGCTATAGCAAACGGTACAGAATAAACTGTTAGAAATATTCAATTTTAGCGATATTGAAACCCTCATTAAGGATACCAAAATGAAATCCTCTGCTTATAGGGTATATATCAGGTTGAAAGTTCATGGAGTAGTTAAAAGTGTTTGAATATTTATGCTTAAAAAATGTATGTATGAGCATTTAATCCTTTTGGGTTACCTAATGCCAAGGATAAGTACTAAAACATTCAACAGGTTGGGGGAAAACTCAATTCACCTATAATAGTGATATAGTGACTATTACATAGTAGTTATAGTCAATTATTGTTTATGTTTTACCCACCCTGACTTGCGCTTTAAAAACAAGCATGTTGTTTTAAGAAATCGAGGATAACTACGGCTGAAAAATATAGAGGCATCTTAGTAGAGTAGTAATATACCACAATTATAGCGAAATTTAAACTTCCCCCAAACCTGTTAAGTATCATTAATCCTGCATACTATAGAAAACATAAAAAATGCTTATTTTCTGTTATTTTCATAGATAGAGCTACTTGGTTTCTGAATTTGTATGCATTCTCATTTATTTTTTAAAGCTACCGTAACAAAATCTTCCTCGTCCATAAAACCCTGCTCTGCAAACACAACCAAGCTGGACATCTCTAGTCGTTACGCAATCGGCATACCTTCCACAACCAAGAGGACATCCCTTCATATCTATGATTGCATATCCATAAACAGTTATAAGAACATATTATCAGCCAATCAGTACATTCACAACAATTCTATACTTTTAATGACTGCAGTGTCAGTGGATTTAAATTTCCATACCGTCAAAGCCTAAGATAATAATATGAATTATTTTTCTGATGGAGAATGAGTGTTTCTCCCCAAGAAATATGTATTATTTTTTAAGTATCAACCACAAGAAGAAACCGTTTATATCTTCAGCGTTCTACAAATAATTATTGTGTACTTTTCTGGACGAGAAAAAAAATTTCAAAGAATATGTTGGAGATCAAATTTCAATTAAAAGAATTCATGTGGTAGAGCGTTTGCTTTGTGTCCTAGAGGCCCGGGTTCGATTCTCGTTTGCCCCGCCAAATCAAACGTAGGATGTAACCATATATATTGACGACACGGGACCTCGGTTTGAACAGTCTCATCCGAAGGACCGGTCTCCACGCCTTGCAGTGGATTTGAACCCGCTACGTAAGGATCAGCTCCTTACTCTGCGACTCTAGAGCGCTCTATAGCTAACTACTGCACCACGCCGGCAACATGTACTCTTTCATTGTTACAATCATATATGTATGTCCAAATGGTGAGTTTTGTGATGGTCAAGTACAATAAATATAGAATGACATGTATGTCATGCACTCAAGTTCAAAAGTCCATTAACCAATACAAATTTTGGAGCAGAGCAAACACGGACTTCTAAAACATCAGAGGTGGAATCAGGTGCCATGGAGGAGTGAGCATCCCCTGCCGATAGGTCTGCTAATAACGGGGTGCAATCGGTACCCATGGGAATTCCTATAGATTGTTGGAAGACTTGGTCTCCAAAAACCACATAGATGTTGTCAATCAGAAACTCAAGCATTTTTTTAATGTCAACTTCAGAGTACTTGTGTGTACAATCAGAATGTTTTTTTAACAAAATAATTATGCAAATGACCAATAACAAGGTAAGTGAATTTTCGAGTTCCATTTTTATTGAAAAAAGCAGCTGTATCCCCAATTAAAGCTCTCTGTCACACTCGCCCTGTGCTCCTTGTCATAATCGGGAAATAACGGAAAATCCGTCGACAATTCAGTGTGTAAGTAATGGCCTAACAATTAATATGGAAAACGTCAGTCAACATTTGACTCAGTGATAAATTGTATTTGCTGACAAGGTCATTGTATCGACCACAGAACTTACGAAATGATGACTTTTAAACGAGACTGCTGATATTCTTGTTTCATCAACTTGTTTGTCAATAATTTACTTCGTTTTAGAAATTGTACATACGTAGAGCATGCTCTTGCGTATCGAATAAACTGATAGATATAAATCCCGTTTGCAGTTGATGAAGGTATATTGCTGCATAAGTAAGGGAAGTTGACGATTGAAAAGTTAAAGTTATCACGTTTATCATAAAGCTTGGTTGTTAGATTACCATTAACGTCTTTTTCAAGTAAAATATCCAAATATGAAACAGATGTGTCAGACTCTGTAGTATCTTTTATCTCAAGCTCACGGGGATATATCGTATCGACATAAGAATGGAAATAACCATTGTTGATTGACAACTCGTCGTCTATATATCTAAATGTCGAGATGAAGGCCACAGCAAGTGTTTTCTTCTTTTCACGTATACGATTTTGGACAAAGTCTGCTTCATATGAATACAAAAAAAGGTCTGCTAATAACGGGGCGCAATTGGTACCCATGGGAATTCCAATAGATTGTTGGAAGACCTGATCTCCAAAAACCACATAGATATTGTCAATGAGAAACTCAGGCATCTTTTTATAGCAGATACTCAATATCCATGCTCTGTAAAGTTTTCTTGTAATTAAAAAGTTTGGAAGCAATAGTCGATGTATATTTGTAGGAAATACAAGGTGTAGTCTTCAACCTGAAATATGGTGGAATACAAGACTGGACCCCTTCGTAATTAAGAATATTATTTATAATAACCGCGTCAATTCCTTTGTTGGCATATTAAAGTTTTTGGCGGTTTAAAAATCTGATGATTTGCTATATCCATAACCACAGATCCAAGTCTGTATTCTGCTTTCGAGGAATCAAAAAAATGGACTTTCCTTGACCTTTTCAAGTAGACTATTTAAAAGTTTCAAAAGGACAGAGTAAAGTTTGGTACGAATGTGATGAAGACCTAACCGTTGATTTATATAAGGCGGTAATGAATCAAAATGGGACATCGTTTATTAATTTTTATTGTAAGACCGATGCCCATGACTACACTTACGTCTCTGTGTATTGTTAAAAAGTCCTATCACATTTACACTGTTACACTGTGGACTGGAAAGATTCCCAACACTATCAACATTGTAATTGAATAATTAATTCGTTTTCAAGATTTCACCAGGATAGAAGCACTTTTCATATAACTAAAAAACATTTATAAAGTTTATATGTGAAAGCTTACTATGATTCTTTGAGCGTATGCCCTAGCACTAGAACGATTAACAGGACCCTTACATTACCTCCAATATTCCTGCAGGCAAGTATACGATAGTAGAAAATGCACGGAAAATATATGAGTTAAATTATAAAAAAGATATTGCATCCAAGTTAATGGCGTCTTAAATAACTTCATATGATACATGTAGTTTATTTAATTATAAAATACATTTTTCGCTGTGAAAATATTACTTAATCTACCTCTCACTGCATACAAACTACCTCATGTTTTACGAACGTCACATCGACAGGCTCATGGCGACTTGTTTATATCATACTATATATGGGATTTAAATAAAACAGCATAATATAATAAGTTTTAATGTAGTTTAATTCTCTTGTATAGTTTAAAATCGCAAATCACTCCATCTTATGGTATTTCAAAGAATTTACAGATTTTTGTGACGTCATAGTTAATTTTTCCCGTGTAAAGTAGGTCCCGACCCCTTTTTGTAGCTGTAGGTAGCAACAAAATTGTGATGGCTTCCACATTTCTGTGATAATTGTGATGAATTCAAATTTCCCTCCCATCGACTTCCCTTCTATGTAGCATTATACCCTCAGTACCTGGATATACACAAAAGCATGTTCTTTGTACGATCAATTTCTAAAACGCAGCAAGCTTTCCATAAACACATTGAGGAAACAAGGATATCAAACGTCTCGTTTAGAGGTAACACTTCTAAAACGAGGCAGTCTATTGACTACTTAGTTGATGAGTCAAGATTACCAAAAGTCCGTTTAAAGTCATCGATTCGCAAAATTTAATGGTTGATACAATGACCTTGTCAGAAAATACAGTCTATCATTAAGCCAAATGCTGACAGAGACTTTTTTCACACAAATTGTCCGGCCATTATTCACAAATTGAATTATCTATAGATTTTTTTTCCTTTTTCCCGATCATGACAAGGAAAACACCGCAGGTTTCACCCATGGACGGAGTATTATTACTCCTCCATGGCATATGATCCCACCTCTGATGTTCGTAGAGGTCCTTGTTTTCTCTGCTCCCAGTTTCCATTAATTTCATGTTCCTTTGAGCTTGATTACTCTTTGTTTTCTTCAAATTTTATCTAAGAAATTGTCCCCTAAGAGATTTACGTTAGAATCATGTTTTAAAAGACATAGCTACTGTTTTTACCTTTGCAGTTATATCCATCTCCTTTGAACCCTTTCAAGCAAGCACATGAATAGTAACCTGGGGCGTTAGTACAGGTAGCCCGAGAGTCACATTTATCCAGTCCTCGTTTGCATTCGTCTATGTCTGTTAAAAAAGAAATCAAAAATGTATACGAATAGTATGGACAAATACGTCTACATTATATGAAATATGAAGATAGCGAAAAATAATTTAATTTTGGTTGTAAAGCGTCATTTGATTGGATAAAAAATTAGAATATAGCATATAACCTGGGTTGCCTACGTCACAATGACTTACGTCAAAAAACGTATCAATCCACTTGACGTTACATTTAAAATACATACAATTTAAAGGCATTTTTGAAAGAGAAATTGTTTTATTTTTTACACTTAATGATTGGAAATTAAATTATAAGGAATGACTTTAATAGCTACCCAAGTTATACTGGAATAACCTGGGTTGGAACAGTTATATCTTCGCGGTTTATAAAGCGTAAACTGCCCCAACTCAGGTTATACCAGTATAACTTGGGTAGCTTTTAAAGTCATTCCTTGAGTAATCATGATCAAAAGTCCATTTAAACAATACAAACCAGGAGCAGATCGAACATTGACCTCTAGAAAAGGATTTTAGACTCACTCATTTCATACAAAATACGTTCAAGTATCCAAAACAATATAAAAAGAAAGAAAAATGGCTATAATATACCTTTGCAAACTGTTCCTGATCGCTCATAGCCAGCTTTGCATGTGCAGATAAAGGAACCGTTTGTGTTTGAACAATACGCTAAACCATTACAATTATCCGTACCCAGAGCACACTCGTTAATATCTATAAAATGTAGTTTCAAGAGTAGAAAATGAAATTTTGTAAACGAAACATCAGTATTATTTGATATATTCTTAAACATATGAAATGATGAAAAATATGATTGTTAAAGATGTTGTATAAACAAATGTTAATAACATCTTTGTTGACATCTATACAACTAATTCACTCACCAACACAACTGAATTTATTTACAGCCAACGCATAACCTTTGGGACAGGTACATCTGAAGGATCCTGGGGTATTCACACACATAGCTAACCCTACACAGTTGTGTAAGCCTTGAATGCATTCATTGACGTCTGCAAAGTGAAAAGTATGTGATTCTCTATTTAATGATATCAATTGCTTTGGCTTCATTAAAGTTTCATAGCTTTCTGTGCATATTTTTGTCTGCTGACCTTTAACAGTTTCGTTTGAAATCAATATATATATATATATATATATATATATATATATATATATTACAAATTATTGAGAAGTTTTTGTGGTATATTTATCAAAAATGTTTTATTAATAACATACAATATAATTAATACTACTATTTTATTTAACAACAATACTTCCTACTTTCCAAAGATAAAGGCAGATTCCCATTTATTTAATTTACTTCCTGTTGTCTGCTGATGTTCAAAATTATTGCTGTTGAAATGAAATATATGTAGATAACGAACAGTATTCAAGCTCAAAAGTCCATTAAAAATTACAAAATAGGAGCAGAACAAACAAGGACCTCCAAAACATCAGAGGTGGGATCAGGTGCCATGGAGGAGTGAGAATCCCCTGCCGACCGGTCACACCCGCCCTGTGCTCCATGTCATGATCGAGAAATAACGGGAAAATCCGTCGACAATTCAGTGTGTAAATAATGGCCTAACAATTAATATGAAAAACGTCAGTCAGCATTTGACTCAATGATAAATTGTATTTGCTGACAAGGTCATTGTATCGACCATAGAACTTACGAAAAGATGACTTTAAACGAGACTGCTGATATTCTTCTTTCATCAACTTGTTTGTTAATAATTTACCTCCTTTTAGAAATTGTATACGTAGAGCATGCTCTTGCGTATCGAATTAACTGAGAGATATAAATCCCGTTTGCAGTTGATGAAGGTATATTGCTGCATAAGTAAGGGAAGTTGACGATTGAAAAGTTAAAGTCATCACGTTTATCATAAAGCTTGGTTGTTAGAATACCATTAACGTCTTTTTAAGTAAAATATCCAAATATGAAACAGATGTGTCAGACTCTGTAGTATCTTTTATCTCAAGCTCACGGGGATATATCGTATCGACATAAGAATGAAAATAGCCATTGTTAATTGTCAAAACGTCGTCTATATATCCAAATGTCGAGTTGAAGGCCACAGCAAGTGTTTTCTTCTTTTCATGTATACGATTTTGGACAAATTCTGCTTCATATGAATACAAAAAAGGTCTGCTAATAACGGGGAAATAAAAAGCCTATTTAAGCTATGTATAAAGAAGGGATTGTTAAGTCAGGTGATATTTCTGAAACATCGAGTATTTTCCCGTCTTCTTCCTATTGTGTGATATAAAATATAAAAAAAGAGGAATTTAGTTAAGGAAAAGAGTTTGTAGGTCCAGAAAACCAACATTCATAGATCAAAGAAGCCTTTATATTTGTTCAGTAAAAATGAGAGTAAGAGTAGAAAAAAGGGTTTCATTGCAACCCATACCAACTCATTCCCTTTGTCGATTTTTTTTCAAAAGCACACATTTTGAACTTTAGCAATGAATCGAAAGTACACAATGAAAACGGTAAGTTATAGATGAAAATTGCATATAAAATAAGAAAGTGACAGGTATTGTCATTTGACAAGAAACCGATTTCAAACTACATGTACAAAATATTCTATTTTTAGAATACCTTGATAAAACATTTTATGAAAAAAATTATAAATAATTTCTGGGAACTTTATATACATGAAACAGAAAGAAAACTGTAAAGTCTTAGGAAGGGAGTCGGAAGACCCTAAACTTTCTATATAACATTTACCCTGAATAAGATAAGTTATTTTGTTATTCGTTTATTCATCTGAGGATATTGTTAAGAAAGATGAAGTGTTAATAAAAAAAAATAATTCATCAAAATATATATAATTTTTAACAAGGACACTGCGTGGTTCAATGGTTAGAGCGTTAGCTCTAGAGTCGCGGTTGAAGGTCGTTACGTCGTGGTTTCGAATCCCACTGCGGGGCGTGAAGACCGGTCTTTCGGATGAGACCGTATAAACTGAGGCCCCGTGTAGTAAGTGCTGGCACGAAAATGATTCCTCACTGCTCAATTGCCCTGAGTGCCGAGTAAAGGCCAAAATTTGTAGTCAATCACGTGCAAGTGGTGGCGTCTCCATAAGAGTGAGTCATTCTCCAGAGGGACGTAAAACAACAAACTAACTAAACAAAGGAATAGCCAAGAGGATCAGGTTTTCACAAGAGAAAAAAAATACACCGATTCCGGTGTAAATTTCTTCGTTATGCACGAACTCACGTACCCACTCACAAGCTTTGAAACGCATTGATGTATCCCTTCGAACTTTATCAGGAAAGAGTACAAAATGATACGAAAACGACAATAACTATTGGGATTTACTGATCGATTGTATATTGTTTTTCGTCCCATTCAAATGTTTTACTCATATAAAGACGTCACCATATGCCGATGAAGGCACTATATATAAAAAAGGAAAAGGTAACCAACTTCAGCCCAAATTTACACGGGGTCGATCACAAAAACACTCCGTATCCTCAATAAAATAATTAGCAGCTAGTGGAATAAAAATTGGAATCATTTAACAATAATTATTCTTTAATAAAAATATCATCAAGATTATTTATGAATTGCTTTAGTCGTGTTTCACAAACCCGATTTCCTTTCATGCAAGTTGATGTAGTTGAAGTCGTCTACTAAATTCGCTCCACATTGGATCCAAGATTTAACGCGGGATGCGATTGGTCAACAATGTTTTTATAGAACAGCTTTGACTAATCACTTTCCGCCTCCTAAGTTGCGTGGGATTTTCCAAAATTTCGTCTGTTCTTGGCTCTAATCTAACTGTGTGCGAAAAAAGCCACCGTAATCCTTCAAATCGGAGAAATGGTTTTAATTGCAAATATCAAAAGAAAAAGATGGTTTTTGTGAAGGCTGAGTTTATAGTTTGCATTTTCCAGCATTGGAAAAACTTCAAAACTGGTGTTAATGAGAAAAGTTTACCTTTGGAAAAACTTCAAAACTGCTGTTAATGAGAAAAGTTTACCTTGTTGCAGTGGGAGATTTAAAATACATCGACTCGCGCGACTGGATATCGAGTTTGTATACTAGTAACTCAACTTCAACGCTACATAAATGAATCAGGTTATGTTTTCATTAAAGAATAATCATTGTGGTATGTTTCCAGTTGTTATTTTAGTGGCTACATGGTGTTTTCTATAGGAACAGGAGTGTTTGGGATATCGCCCCTGTGTAAATTTAGGCTGACATTGGTTCTTTTTTTTTCCTTTTTTGTATCATATAGTGATTACGTAAAAGTTAACATAGTACGTTACCGGCCTTTGTGGATGAGGTACTCCAAATTTACACCTATACTCGGCGCTCCGGGCCATTGAGCAGTGGGGGTTCTTTAATGTGCCAACACCTAGCTGCAATAATGTAGCCCTCTCCCCCCCCCCTTTTTTTTTTGGAGGGGGGGGGGGGGGGCTACAACTCCTTAGAATCTCCGTAATGGTGCGAGATTCACTCCCTCACAGATTGCGGATCAAATTGTCAGTAAATGCCTATTTTACTAACACTTCTTACCTGCACTCTAAAAATGTAGTTATGCAAGACATAAATCGATCCAAAGGTATACAGAACAATTCATATATCGGTTATTTTTCGTGTATGTCAACATCACAACTTGAATTTATCCACCATGTTTACTGACCTTGATCAATATTATTTTTTTTTGTGACAGCCAATGAGAATTCGAATTCTAGGGAGCGGATCTTATGTATTATGTATTAGGAATATCCTTATTTTAAGCATAAATATCGTTGTTTACGAAAATGGTTTTATTTATCGATGTTTAGTGATACCATATAATACAATCATTTATCAACAGAGCATTTGCCTAGTTTTTCTTAATTTCAAGCATAAGTTTTAGTACATCACGCGAGAACTGTAATGGCTGCTGAGGAGAAGGACTGATAAAAACGCAGATTTATTTTATCTGGTTTTTGTGTATAAACGGCTATGTTGTTGACAGTGAATAAAAATTTCGTGTTATTGGAAG